TCATTATGAGGTTTCTTTATTGCCACTTTCTACTTGATTAGATTTCTAACTTTTAGAATTTTACTCTTTAAAAAGTTCTTTCGCTATTCTGTTTACTGACGTATTTTTATAGATATTCCTTCATTGTGAGTAAGTTAATTCTCTGCTGTTAATCTTGGACAATTCAAAGTTTGTATTAATCTAGAGACATTTAGATCTCCTTTGAGATAATGAGAGAAGTTTTGTTCAAATTAATGACCATGAGTTCTTGTTTCAAATGGTTTATCTGTTAAAAGAGGATCTTAATGTTTTTTTAAATGTAAACTCTTGAATTTACGATGCAAAGTTTTATTAGAATGATCAAACTCACAAGTTGTAGAAAAACTCATATAAATTATTATAATTAATTAAATTTATCAAATAAAATAATTATAATTTTTAATACTTAAAACAATACGAATTTCTATTTTATCCATAATATTTAATACATAAAAAAATAGAAAATCTAATTTAATTATAATATTAAGTAGTGTAATTCATATTCACAATTGAGTCTACCCATTAACTACATAAGTAAAGATGCTAGAGACAGTACTCTTTTTAGGAAGTTTAGGTGTTTCAATATCAACCTTATTATCTGGATCTATATATGCTGATACAACACTGCTGAAATCATTTGAATCCAAATTCTTTTTATATAATCGACTATCTATCTATTATATGACTTTGGAATTATTTTTATTATGTTTACTAGATTATTAATTAATCTTACATATATTTTAATAATTATGGTGCCATTGAATTAAGTAGACTAATAGAAGTATTAGTTGATGATGTATTTGGTCTTTATGTGCTTGATTATATTTAATAATCTTAATTAAGATTATTATTAGATTTTTAGAATTTCAATTTCTCAATAAACTCCATTACATAAACTCTTACTTTCTTCCATAGGAAACAAGCCTTTCTTTTATTGTGATAATTCTTGGGCTTTTTTATACAATATTTAAAACAAGGGTAACGAATAATAAGATTAACAATTCTTTCAATATGTTATTACTTTAAACTTGATATATATTCTCTAATTATCTTGGTGAATATGTAAGTACAAAATAATAAATTAAGTACTGAACATAATATTGATAAAAGGTAAACTAATTCAGTATATGGATTATTATCTTAACTATATGATAAAATAAGAGTTATCATTGCCAATTGTGTTGATATCTTATCAATAAAATTATATTATTTCTCAATATAAGGTTGATGTTTATTTAATAATTCTAAATAGACAAGTAATATAAGTATTGCAAATGAAAACATTAGTTTTATGTCTTAGATTAAAAGAGTTTCTAATAGATAAAATAATGATTTAACAAAGAAACACACAAATTCCCAATAATAATAATTGTCTTTATATTCCACATATAAATATCCATAAGGCATACGTAGTTAACATGTCCATAATTTGTTTTTGTTTCTGTATAATTTTATGATATAAAATAGTGGTGACACTATTCCAACTAAAATCAATGTTGGTATAACAAGTGTTTTAAGATAAAGATAATATTCTTCAGTATAACACATGTAAGATGTAGCTGCTTAAATGTAATATTATCCCGATGCTTTAATACAAAACATTAATTAAAGAAGACCTTCAATTATGTCACCTTGAAAATAAAAGTGTACTTAAATAAGACAAGTGATAAAAATAGTTTTGATAGAGTTTTCCATTTAACGTTATTTACACAATTGAATAAGAGTATATATGAAGACAAATGAAAAAACAAATAAAAGTGATACAAATAAATTCCAGAATTGTCTTAAATATACTATTTCAATTTGCAATTTTGAATTCAATAGAAAACATTCAATTGAATATCCAAGAGTAGATAAAGGATTACCAATTGCTTATGCAATAATTTCTATTGGAGTAGGAAAATCAAAATCTATAACTTGTACTATTGATATCAATTGAAAATAACTGGAAAAAAGCTTTATTAATATTTCAGTTTAATCAATCACCATTGTAGATTTTGTAGCAAAGAATATACCCATTAATCTAAGATAATGAACTGATAATTAGGCTCTAACCAATCTTAAACTACCTCTGATTGATATAAATAAAGCAATAAGTATCCAAGAGAAAGAGAAAATTATCTTGAAAATATTAAAGACATCATTCTCACAAATTGTACAATTACCTCCAAAACCACGAGTATATGAAATATTCCAATTTTCAGCATAATAATCACAATCATTACATAATGCTCCTGTGTAACCTTAACTACAAGTAAATTCATCTGATCCTCCTAAACATTAAGCCACAGATGATTAACAATATTCAATACTATCAGTACTCTTATTAGCTCTCCAATATCCTTATTTCACAATTAATTCTGAACCTCCAGGACATGTTTCTATTGATGTAATACACTATTTACAAGGAGTAAAATTGTTTAAACTATATGATCCAGCTGGACATCTAAGACATGATTAATTTTCCCATTCATCTCCTATATCACAAAAAATGAGATTTAAATATATAGGTAATTTAAATGTATCATTATAAAATTTAAGTGATTAAAATTCAAGGAGTAATTGAATAGTTTCCTTTTATGGTTGTATTTAATAATAAATGTATGACACTTCATATTAGCATTCCAATTAATCAAATTGGAATATCTTCTCTAATATAGTGAGTGAATCTGTAATATCACATATTCTATTTTATCCACTATCTTGAATGGCTATTAATAAGTCTAATTGTTAGCCACTTTTATAGTTATCTATATATATAAATTCTTTCTTTTTAATTAGATCATCAAATAGATAGGTCTTATTATTAAAATCAAGATACACTGGTCCTGTTATATAAGTTAAGATATCAGGTTCTACAATTTGATTAGTTAATAAAAAAATATGTTTATTTGTTTTCATTGAACAATTATTGAATAGATTTTGTTAAATATAATGAGATAATCCTAATGTTTAATTAAGATAGATTACTCCACCTTCTGGAGATAATAGATCAATAAATTGATTTCCATATATTTTAATAGCAGAATTAGAAAATAAGTAAGCAGAACCTTAAATAGCTGAAATATTTGTGAAAGTATTATTGTTACCTATAAAATTATTGGAATCTTAAATATTAATAAAACCAGAAAATGTTTGAGTATTCTTAAATAATGACTTTGATATTTCTATTTGATTACTTTATCTAATCATTATAATACCATTACAATAGGGGCAATCCATATCTGTAAATTATAGATCATTGAATGACAGTTTAGTACAATTATCAATCTTTATTATCTCCTTATTGTTATGAATGATATTATTCATTTACATTCCTTTAATGTTTATATCTGTTTCTAATGCTTAGATCAATGGACTAAGAAAGTTATTAATTTCAAATATATTGATATGAGAAATGTTTGCCTAAGATGTATTTAATGTCAAGAAATTGCATTCATTACAATTCTTAATTGTAAGATTTCTTATAATTAGATTTATTACATTTTATAGTTTTGAAATCTAAATAGAGGCACAATCTTCAATTAAAATATTACTTAATTAAATAATAGAAGATTCTTTTAAATAAATCAATAAAGATTTATTTATTTATTTAAAATCTACTTAATGAATATTTAATTCTGTAATTGTTTTTGAATAAATGAGTAGTCCAAATAATGAATTAAAATTACCTTTTGAAAGTGATAATGATCCATTAATCTAAAATAGACTTCTTGTTTAGCTATTGGATATATTGAAGTAATTAAAAATACAACTTGTTTGATTACTTACTGAAATCAACAATGGACCAACCAAAGTAGATATAGTTGTTTATTAAAGAAAGATGTTCTCACTATTAATATAGAATAACGCTTTGCTCTCTAATTCGATTATTGTACTATTTTATATTGAGACATATTGACTTTCTGCTATAATCAACTTTGAATCAGATAATACTCTATTAATATTCAAGCTAGAGAACTTAATTTAGTTTTCACTATTAAGTCGTATCAAAATACTTTAAGATAGAGTTACATTTAAAATTGTTGTATAAAGAGCTCCTTTAGCCAAAATTCCAGTTGAAAGTGTAAAGTAAGTATTTTGTATGGTGATTTATTGTGAAATATCTGTCTCAATCAAAATGCTTTAAACTACAAACGAATTATTGAGAGTGAGGATGTTTACATAAGTGAGATGGGATAAAGTTGAATTAATAAAGCTGACCTAATCAACAATGACGTTTCTTAATTAAGACATATGCGAACTTAGTTAACTTCTAAAAAAAGTGCAATCTGAAATCAAGAGTCCGTCAACATCAATTGGAGATTAAAATGCTGCTTTATTTTAAAATGTCATCCCTATCATTTAAGACCCACGAATCTTCATTTAAGTACTATTTATTTAACAATTCTTTAGAAGAATGACGTTCTAAAGTAAAACCGAACCTATGATATTTATTGAGTCAGTTAGTGTGTCTATAGTAATGTTCTGGAATTCAATAAGCTTAAATCCAACCAATGTTATTGTTTAAGTCAATAGTAATTAAGTTCCTACTATTTTAAGTTAGCCACCCAAAGATGTCATATTCATTAGATTCTCATTGCTTACATTTAGAGTACAATTGTATTGGGGTATCTAAACAGACTTGTCAACTTGTAATGTGAGTCCCATCTCATCCCTACAAATCAATAACTCCATTGTGATATACAAATTTATGAACAAAAACAATCTTCTCATCAAAACAAATAATAAATAGTAATTAAATATTTCAATATACATCCAAAATCATAAAACATCAATCCTATCTCATTCGTAAACTATCCCTACATATTCTATAAGGATAAATTTCAAATTTATTTCATTACTTTATCTTATCCTTCAAAACATTTCCTTTCTCTCTACTATACTCAAATACTTAATATCTATTCAAAACTTTAATCATGTCTCATCTTAAACTTCTAATTATTCTCTCCATTTTATAATTATATATTAATTAATCTTTTATGGAAAAACCCCAAATTATCATAACAACTGTTAAAAGAGGAGATGAGATCACTTATCCAAAAAAGGGAAATCATTTACGCATTCATTTTGAAGTTTTCGTATCTAATCAATCCTTCTAATCAAGAGACCTAATGGAGAAAAGATTGAAACAACAAAAGATGCTGATCATCCATTTGAGTTTCAAATTGGAGTCGATGACGTTATTCCTGGCTTGCAATAAATACTATACAAAATGACCATCGGAGAAAAAGTTAAAGCAGAAATCCCACCCCAATTTGCTTATTAGAGAGAAGGATTGACTGGAATCATCCCAGGCAATGAAAAATTAATTATGGAAATTGAGTTAATATCAATAACATTTTGATCATATAACATCATTACTGCACCAAAAGGTATGGATGTGATTATACTCCATTCTGCTAACAATTTTATGATTTTTAATACTTATGAGTCAGCAAATGGTTAAGACTTATAAACTTTATTAACTATTTGCTATGATGCTCTAACTACATGTTAAACAATATTAAATAATCTATGATTATGGGTTATGTTGTTAAATTATATAGACATCAATTTATTAAATTACAGGATCTTATTTTGAAGAAATATTTATAATTGGGTTATCTTGATAATAAACTTATGGTTGATAAGATTTATTTTATCGATCTAAATAAGTTGTAGTTAAGGTAAGGGAATTGCATAAAATAATTGTTATTAATATTGATATTTGTAAGTTTAAGTATATGGTTAAAATAAAAGTACTATTTAAACAAATTATAATTATTAAGGTTATACTGGATAAAGTAAATGATTTTGATAAATAATTGGTTGAGTATTATTTCTCTTGATCTAAATAATATTGACAACATCTAAAGTAACCATTTATGACTGATGAAGATGGAAATTTGCTCATTCTACAGCTTCGTAATTCACTTAGATAGGCACACCTTAATATTTCAATTGAAAATTCTAATTATCTTGATCTGCAAAATATGGTATGGTTTCCTATAAACTGTTTTTGAGTCTTTTGATCTTTCAAGATTTTTTTTACATTCCTTAGTTACAAAATCAAATCATTTTGTTTATTCTTATCTGATTATTCAATCATTATCTATAATAGTATTAATCAATTTTTGTAAGTCTTCTCTGATTTACATTATATCAATCATTTGATGAATAACAATATCATTAAGAATAGATTCAATTTATTTTTAAGAAACCCGAATTAATGTTACTAATATGAATATATATATCCTAATAGATATTAGACATGACTTAATACTATACTGAGAATGTTAATGTGGATGAACCTGAATATATTAGTAACACTTAAGATACCAAACGAGTTACATAAAAGATAGATATGTAGTGGTGGATGATACAGTTTTCTTTTCTTTTTTCAAACTCAAATTATTTGCTTTTTAGAATAATTAATTGTTGCTATGTTTACATCTGCTTGTCGATACTAATTATTAAATCAAAATGAAACTGGTTAAGTTTTACATATATTCAAACAATAAAGATTTTTTTGATTCTTTCATGTTTAACAAAATCATTAGATTAAAATAAATTAAAAAGTTAGTAAATAACTCAATTTTTCATAAAATATTATCATAATCCTCTAAAAGAGGAGGAAATTTTGAAATCATACAATGATTACATGGGAGAGTGATGAACAGTATTTGGTTTCGAATTTTTAATAATAAATTATTTGATTGGACTCTCAAATTAGGGAATAAAAAATAATTATCTTAAATTCCTTCTTCCTTTAAGTAATGAAGAGTATTAATCTTTAGTATCTTTGTTTTTCTATTTTATTTTCTTTGATTATTAGGTTGAATCACCTCTAATTATTTGCTTCAGTTCCTAAATAGCATTTTAAATAGTCGATGGTTTTTATTATTATTCATTAACAATTTATTTAGTTAATACCTTTTTAATAGTGAATTTCTTTTTGGATTTGATTCTTTTCATGATTCTGTATCTGATAATAAAGATAATACAATTAATAAGTCTTCTAAATTTACGAAACTATTTTTGCTTTCTCCATTGACTAATTATTTTGGATAATAAGGTACTTCGTTTACGGAAATTGATATAATTGAAATATCTTTTTCATAATGTTAGATCGTTTACCACATGTATCACAATAGCAACTTGACTCTCCAAAAGTAATCTTCTGAATTCTAAGATTTTTGTTTATTCTTTCGTTTATGAATACTGATCTATCTTAAATTAGAGTTGTAATGCGTTTAGATCCATTTTAAGGTAATGGTTTTGAATATTTTTTGTGATTTGAATAAACTCTTCTTTATTGCCTAATTTATATAAGAGATTGATTCATTAATTAAATAATGAGCGAAATAGAAGATATTTACTAAGGTAACCAGTAATAAATAAATGATAATTATAAATGAAGAGAGTCGGAAAGAATAGAAGATTAAGATAGTTTAATTAATATTTAACATGAAAATTATTATTAGATGATTTAAGAGATTAAAATTCTCTTAGATATTTATACTTAATAAAAGAAATTGAAAAAAAGCAAAATAAATCTATTACAACCATTCCCTCTTGATTAAATATTTTAAGATAAATTCTTTTTATTGGCTATGTCAAATTTTTGGTTATACTGAATAATCCAACTGGAAATCTAATTTTCTTAGAATACCATTAATGTTAATTTCTATATTAGGTAATTTCATAACTTTTAATAGTTTTCAAGAATTATAATCCAATATAAATAGATCAAATTTATTGTAAATTTTATCATGTACATAAATTGAACTTTATTATCATTATCATTTTTATGTATATTTATGAAATTAAGATTTGATGTACTGAATTGTTTATCAATCAAATTACATTTAATTCATAATTGTAATTATTTATACTCACTTTAAGTTTTCAGATATATAATTATTTTCATCCAAAAATTATCAACAATTTGTCTTATTCTCGTTTATCTAATATGATAAAATCTATTTATTTAATTTCATCCTTAATGTCATCAAAACCATATATTCCTATATGCTTTCAGCTAAATGTTGTATATATTTTTAAAAAAATGCTATTTCATTTCGATTATTTTTAATACTGTTTTAATAATGCAAATTGTGATCAATTTTATCTGAATGTGATTATGTATTAAAATATCCTTCTAAATTAATTTATCAATTTGACCATATGTTGTGTGAAAATAACAATATTCTTAATATTTAATTCTATATGATGCTTAAATTAATCAAAATTGTGTAATTGCTTCTATTCTTTATATGTGAGATTCATTTAAAACCTTCCTTAAATCAGTTCAAAATTATCATTCCTAAATTATTTAAATATGAGAATAAGTATTTTAGATCCTTACAATTTATTATTATCAAGTTGACTTAAGTATTCCTTAAAATTTAATTTATATTCCAATCAATTTTGAAATTGCTTCCAAATTTTCATTTAAAGTTTTCATACACTATTATAAATGTGGTTATATATCTCATATTTAATTTTTTCTTATGTTACTGCAATAATGGGAAAAGTTTAAATCCTAGACATACAAGATTATTATTTTAACTTAATATGTTGCTGATAATTTATTCATTAAATAATAATAAAAATAATATATAAAATGGCTTCTTATGTAGCTAATTCCGTCTTGAATGATACAATGAGATAATTCAAATCTAATCAAAATGATTCAAAATAAAAAATAGATTGGGATGATTTCAACTACCCACCCTTGATAAAAGTGATTCATTACAATATTGAAGAAGTTTAGCCAGAATATAGATTAGTGGTAAGATCATTATGGTTGTCAAGCATACTCATTTTCGTTTACACTCTATTAAATATCATTAATAATAGTATTTAAGCTGGAAATGGACTTGATGGAATACGCATTTTATATAGTTTTATGTTCTTGTTTTCTTTCAACCCAATTTAATTGTAAAATATTCTGCATAGTTAGAGTTTTATTTTTTATCGAGGATATAAGGGTGTAGTATCGGATCCATATTTATTAGTATTGTATAAATGGGTTTAAATTATATTGATACTGTGTTGGATAACATTTTCAATTGTTGCTATTCTAGGATTTAATGGATTCATTATATTACCATACCTTTTTGATTTGTAAATTTATTATTATTATTATTTGTTAGTCTCCCCTTTTGTGGTGTTTTAGCCTTATTTGAAGATATCATCTTTTTACTAATTGTATTTTTAAGTGGATTTGCTTTATTCCGTATATGGAATATAAAAGAATGAAAATAAGATATATTTATTCATAAATTGTATAATGGAAATACTTTTGGTTTCTTATCCTTTATCGTATTTTCCATAATCTTAAAAGATTTTAATAATTATTACTAACTAGAAAAATCTTAGATTAATTTTATTAATAAATTATTCGTTATTAAATTCTATTCAATTTATTGCATTATTATAAATATATATTGATATAATTTCAGAATATGATGCATTTAATATTTTATTTTAAAGATAAATACTAAAGTAAATCAGGTCAGAGTTTCAATTCCATAATATTTTTAATTGGAATTAATGGGTATGGATCCATCTACTTATTTTAACCTTGATTAAGAATATTTTAAAATTTTTTAATTAACACTTTTTTTAATTTAACTAAGATAGTATATAATTATTGCCCTAAGTTGATCACTAAAACCGAGAGTAATATAGATATATGAAGCCAGCCAAAAAGGATTTAACTATCATAAACAATATAGGTTTGCATTAAATCCCAATAAAATGCAACAGTCGAACAAAATATAAAAAGACTAGCCTCCATTATTATTTGATTGAAATAATCAAATTTATTCTCACGTGTTCTAAATAAAATTATAAGTATTAAACTAAAATTGCAAACAAGTGCTAATAGTATTGATTAAATTTCTTAATTTCTTTGGAACAAAACTAATATTCCTACAAATAAGAATTTTTTTAAGATTAAAAGTAAATCGAACTTTTTAATCTTATTTCGAGATATTGAAGTATATTTAGTCTCTTTAAAGAAATAGTTTGATATTAAAATTGCAAAAGTATATAAGATAAAATATCCTACAATAATTGATACCATTGGTCTAGTTGTTGTAAATGATTAGGAACTAATTTATAAAAATGACATAAACAGCAAATCCCAACAATTTGCTATAAGAAATTATCTCAATCCTTCTTTTTAACATTCTCTTTTTAACTAAAAACAACCATTTTATATTTTCACGAAAAATTAAGCAACTGTTAATCCAAAATAAAAATAATGCAAATTTTTCATAGAAATGAATACTTGAATAACAAATATACAGCCTATATACATTAATAAGAGTGTTAGAATTAAGAATATTTAAGCTTAAATATTATTCAGTATGTCAGCATTAATTTAATAAAATTAAAATTTTTCTTTTGATTCTACAAACTAAGTTTGCACAAATTCCAATTATAATAAATTAAAATGAAAGAAATCTAACAAAGGCTACATTGTTATAATATTACTTGATTCAAAATATATGAATAAATTTAGTGGAAACACAACATTAATAAATTTCAGATAAGATTATTATTAGAGTATTTCAATAATTCCTCTAAATGAGTTGCCAAGAAGCAGCAAAAAAATACCCATACCACCAATAGATTTCATAATATTTGTTCCTATATTTTTTATGATATGAGAAGATTATTTTTTCTTATCATCTATGTATTTAGGAAGGTTTAATTTTACTCTTTAATACTGATTTATTAAAGGTGCTTCATTTTCATTGTACAATTATTCATTTAATATTATTTCAATAATAGGAGGAGATGATAATGTTGTATTGATTGAAATTTCAACTATATATTCAACATAAGTGCAATATTATAAAGCCTCTTAAACTATAATCAATGTGATATTATAAAATTCATAATCAACTCCTATTAAGTTAAATTGAATGAACTCTGAAAATACATTATTTTTTATATTTTTTACTTATTAGTCAAAATGTAAGGATACATATTAAATCTAATAATCTTATCTTATTAATGAGGCTTAAAATTTAGGATATTTCTCATATGTACATTAAGTAAATGAATATAAGTAGTTCTTACAAATATAATTAATCTCTATTGTGCATTGTTAAGAACAACCATCCCCATCTTATTTATTCATATCATCACATTCTTCATCCATTGAAACTAAACCATTACCACAGAATGTCTAACATTGATTTTGATTAGGTATTAATTCATATCCTTATTCGCATACTTTACATCTTCCTTCAACACATATTTCACAATGATCTGGACAATAAAAATAACAATTAAAACATCCATCACTTTTATCATCATTTTAATCATCACATTCTTCTTCATCAACTAAAATTCCATCTCCACAAATTGGATAACATATATTATTAACTTCATAATATCCTTCTTCACACAAATCGTAGCAAACTCCTTTAATACATAATTTACAGAATTATCGACATTGATAATTGCAATTATAACAACCATCATAAGGTATTTCATTCATATCATCACATTTTTCATATCCAATAGTGATTAAGCCATCTCCACATACAGGAAGACAAAGTTAATCAATCAATGTAAATGTAAATTAACAATTATAACAAATTCCATAAATACAAGCAGTACAATAACGACAACATTCTTATTTACATTCATAGCATCCATCATATTATAAATTATTAGAATCTTCACATTCTTCATATGATAATAAAGCAATTTAAGAATCTCCACATTCAAATTCACATAAAAAATAATCATTCAAATACCAACCATAAATACAATTCAAACATGTTCCCCTTTAACAATAAGAACATTCCAATTAACAATCATTTCTGCATTTATTACATCCATCAAATCTAATTGAATTCATATCGTCACATTCTTCTATACCTTTAATTTGATTATCTCCACAGTCAGATTCGCATTATTAATTCTTTAATTTCCATCCTTAAATGCAATCATAACAAATGCCATATTAGCAATCTGTACATTCATTTTAACAATTATAAACGCATTAATTACATTCAAATGATTTTTTTGTATCTCTACTAATATCACATTCTTCATATCCTAAAACAATAAGATCTCCACAAATAGGAGTGCAAATATTAATAGGTTAATCTAGTTTCCATCCATTTAAACATTAAATACAAATTCCATTTTATTAAAATTTACAGCCTTCTTCTAAATCATAAGTACATTAATGACATCTATCAAATGCATATAAATTATTATCTACACATTATATATCATTAACAATTAATTAATTTTAACATACAGATTCGCATTTGTTATTTATTAATTCATAATTTAATTTACATTTATCACAAATACCAAATTAATAGGATAAGCAATTTGATGGGGCCATAAATTTTCCGTTTTTGCAAATTTCAAATTGTAAAAGATCATCACATTCTTCCCATATTGAATATTTCTAGTCATCAAAAATGGCAGTACATGTGTTAAAATTAGAATCAAAAAACCATCCAATATCACATTCAAAACAAATTCCATTAATACAATTTGAACATCCTTCTAAACAAGAATATTAACAATTAAAGCATCCATCAAAAGAATATATATTACCGTCATCACATTCTTCATACTATTCTAAAACTCCATTTCCACAAATTGATCCACAAGCCTAATTAAAAGAGGAACCAAATAGACAATCTAAGAAAATGAAAAAATTAATTTACCAATAAATATTTATATGTCTCTTATTCCAAAAGATTCATTTTACATATCTTAATTTAAATTAGAAGTAAACAATAATGTTATTGATGATCCTGAATGAGCCATTGTAAATTGATCATGTTATGGTATATCATCATAACTGAGACCGCATAAATTCTATATTACTCTTACGTTCAAAGTCAAGGTTTTTGTCCACTTCAAATTATTATCTACATATAAGTATGCAGATTTAGAATTCCATCTATCTAAAAACATAAATCTAAATTTAATTTTAACTTGACTATGAGCTGATAAATTAATTTTTTTGAACAATTAACTAGTTCTCCCAGTGCAATCATAACCTCCAAGTAACGGAATAGCTTTAGTTTGATTTAATGTAATTACATAAACATTAACTAGTAAATTTACATCCTCTTTCTATGGTCCATCCATCAACATTAAAGCTATTAAAGTCTACACTGACTAGACTATTTTCAATAATCTTCCAATATATACAATCTTCTCTGGAGTCGGTTGATACACAGGTTTAGCATCCAGAAGGGCATGGATAAATATATAATTTAAAATTCCTGATTCCCCATGATTCCTATATTTATAGTATCTAATTAGAGTACATTAGTAGAGCCCTAATCTAAATCTGATGTCATTAAAATAAAGAGAGATTAATAGTTATGGGGTTTTGTAATGCTAATCTGTTCAATAATTTCCCCATATGATGACTGTCCGCATAATTAAGTACCATCTAATCCATAATTATTCTAGAAACCTAAAATTTCATCTAAATAAATGAAAAAAATTTAATTATCCCAGGAATCTATTCTAAAAGTGCTTAAATATACTCTTACTTCCAAAATTCTAATGTAATCAATACTGTATGATGAGGTGGTAACTAAAATAACTTTGTAGCTGAAGTTTGTTCAGCAAAGGCGCCATATCCACCAAAAAGTCGGACTGAACCACAATCACTATAAATTGAATTTTAACCTGTTAACATCCATTCTTGGATTAAATAATTCAATACCTTCTGTAGTAGTAAATGCATTACTTGTAAAACTTTCAGAGTATAAGACTTGTGAATAGGAACTTATTGCCAAAATAAATAATCTATGAAGCATGATGATGAAATAAAAAATAAAATACAATAAAATAAAATACAAGACAAAATTTTTATAGAAATAATTACATTATTCATTGCCTTTAAAGATCTAATAAATTCAAACCTTTTAAGAGGTTTGCCAAGATCATAATTATAGATAGCCAATAAATTATTTAATACTGACCCTTTTTAGGACACATTATGTAAAATTGAATATAATTTTCTATATAAATTTTTATATTGTTTAAAATGTCTAAGAAAATGACTAGTTATTAAAAAATAATTATTTTTATTCAGATTTTTATTAATATTTATATTATCATTATTATTTGAATCTATTCTCTTACAATTGTTGTTATACTAATCTCATTATACAAAAAAACCCATATTTAAATAATTTTTAGTACATTTGTAATAAGTATCCAGATAATATAAATATCACTAAAAATATTATTCACATAAAATATCAGTATGAAATAAATGAATTATAACAGCATAGTAAAATATATTGTGAATAGATGTATATAATATTAATTATTATTTATATAATAATACGTCATATGACATTGTTTAAATTATTAATTTTAGTATATATTCAAATAGATTCTTAATTGTCCTTCATATAGGAAATGAATGACCTATCTTATTGTTAATTTGAATATTCAATCAAATCCTCAAACTATGTTAGATTGTTTTCATTAATATAAATATCTGTATTGATATTTTATTCATTATTTTAGTAATTAGGGATGCTTAAAAATTTACGATAAGGTGACTTTTTATAAAGCTCTTTTTTTAATTGATTTATTGCATCAATATATTTTCTTTTAACTAATTGATCCTTAATTTTAGTATTATTAACAACAGCAATTTCAGCCTAAGAATATAAAAATTCTTTCCATCTTTGTTATGTTTCAGTCTATATACATTTAGTTCTTGAATTGATAGGTCCAAATATTTTTTGTAAATCTCCTAATTCCCATTTTTATTATTTTGAAGTTTTACGATTATGAATTACTTTTAAATAGCACTCTACTTATTTATAATTCATTTATTTTGACCAATGCATAAATTGATTCAAGAAGAAGGGCACTATTCTTCTTTAAAATTTAGATTCTAAGATTTGAGTTGATAATGAAGAATTCTTAATTTAAGGTATTAACTAATAATTATTAATTATGGTCTCCAATAACTGTTCTTCTAGTTCTACAATTACTCTGCCATTATTCTTTTTCAATATCTATGATTAAATGTATAATTACCTAAAAATACTATTGCTACATTAATTATTAATAAAATGTTTAAAATCAATAGTAGTTTTTCTTGATAATAATAAACAATAATCCACAAATTATATGGAAATTTAAGTGTTTTAATTATCCTAAATAAAAATAAATTATTTAGAACTTTCTATATTCCAAAATATTGATTTTCATTGAAGGTTTTAAATAATAGATCAGTAATTAATTTATCATATGTGATTCTTTTTGGTTTTATTATTAAAGTATATAAATAGTAATTGATTCCTACTATTAAAAGAGATAAATCCTATTTATAAATAATGAATAATCAATAATATAAAAAGAATTATTTTTTTAGATTGATCATATTTTTTATAATTTTTTCACTATATTACAAAAAATAATATTTTAATTTTGTATATAAAAACAGTTTTAGAATCTATTAATTCTGCATTTATATTTTACAAGTTTATCATTTTTAATAACTATTTGATAAAGTAAGTAAGATATATTATAAATTGCTATCTTAAAGTTATGAGATCTGTGAAATCTATTTTTAAATAGTAATCAATAAAATATATATATATTTTAATTTTGTATTAATGATATCTGAGAATGAGAGTACTAGAGTATTGCTAGTGATAGTATAGAATCCTTAATCAATTATACTACCACATTCTTTATTTTATAGATACTTTTCAAATTTTGGGGAGGTTAACAAAATTCTAATATTTGAGAAGGGTAAACTATGGAAATGTTTTATTGAGATGGGAACTTTATAATAGGCAAGGTTTTCTTAGTAATAATTAAATGGATGTTAATTGTATGATTAAACAATCATGAATGTGTATATTTTTATTTATGACTAGTAGATATTATTCAACATTATAGAGTGTCACATTTCTCAATAATAATTCAGGAGGTGTAGATTACAAATAAATGAAATAGAGAAATTCTACAAAATCTATGAATATTTATGAATAAGAATATCATCCAAAAATATATAGTCAACCTGTTATATAGCAACAATAATCAGATATTACTTTAAGTATTGCTAGTTTAGGGAATGAAAGAACAAGAGCTAGTTTTAATGATAAATAGGATTTTTAAGATTAAAAAAATGAATGGGAACCCTAAAAAATATAAACATCTTTAGAATTTATTGATGATGGAGATTCATGTAAACAATATTCATCTTTTAAATCTATTTAATTTGATGATAGTGAACATGATCCTATAGATGAAGATATAATGCTTGCATTCTCATCTGAAAAAAATACATATTTAAATTCCTATATGTTTTCAATTCCTGAAGTAGAAGATAAATCAAAAAATTAAGATATAGATCCATATACTTATGTATCACCATAATTTCTTAGAGAAAATTAACCATCAAAAGTAGTTTATATGAGAGGTCTTATTAATTAAAATATAACACCATTAAATGTATTTAATTTATTATCAAACTTTGGAAATGTGTTAGTCATTATCTATATTAAACATAAGACATCAGCCTTGGTTTAATTTGAGAAATTATCTCATGCTCAAAATGCTTTAGATCACTTAAATAATTAAGTATTTTTTGGATACAAACTTAAAATCTTTTATTCGAATTATTAAGAAATATAATTTCCTTTACCATTTCAATCACCATAGACTTTGGTATTTATGCCACAACAATCTTAATTTAGATTTAGTGAAACAAAATCAATATCTTTTAATCCACCAAGTTAGACTTTGCATTTAAGTAATATTAAAGGTAAAATGTGTGAAGATGATTCCTATATTAAAGAATTATTCAAAGGTATTGGAAATATATAAGCTATCAAATTCATTCATATAAATAAGTATAAATAAACTTTAAAATTTAGATAAAAACATATGGCATTAGTAAGATTATCATCATTAGAAGAAGCATTGAATGGAGCAGCTTTACTTCATGGCAAAGAAGTAATGGGTAGAAAAATTAATGTTTCATTTACCAAAAGTAAATTATGCTGAAATCTAATAAGTCAGCGATTGCTCAAGTATTATGACTTTCTAAACAATAAAATATATAATAATTATTTCTTCTTTTTTATTCATTTATAATTATAGACTTATAAAAAATAATTTATATCTTTTTTGCATCTATAAATATATAAGTAAAAATTAAATTTGTTAATAATTTATCAAAATTTATTAATAGTAATTCCATCATATACAATATTATTCTCTCTAACTTAAAATGAAGAAAATAACTTGTGATTTTTTCAATTCTAATCAGATATTTCATTATTTATTTATATCTTTATAATATTTCAATAAAAGAATTTACAACAGTTTCATATTATGTAATTTAAATTATGAAATGTAATAAATAATCTAATATTTTTTTTGCTTAATATTCTAATTTTTTACAATAAATAGTTTACAGACTTAAAAATAAACAATTTATAATTGTTTATTAATATACAAGTAATGAGATAGAGGTGTAAGTGATCTAATTAATAAATTATGTTTAAAGTAATTTATTTTATAGATCAATGAAGATCATTTTTATGTAAATTTATATATACAATATTTATAATCAACTCATTAACTTAAGTAGTACTAAATCTCTTTTATACAATAAATATAATTACTTAATTTCTTTTGGTTTTAACTAATTAATTGTTGCATTTCTTTTGATATAGGCTTCATTTAAATTAGTGAAATATAATTATTTTTTATCTACAACATTAATTTTTATCTCAATAACAAATAAATCCTATATCATTATTAATTCATCTTTGTAAATAGGTACAAACATTAATTCAACTTACTCTGGTAAAACAATTGGATCAAAATGTCTTAGATTATTGTCAAATTCAATTTAGAAATCATCCTTTTATTTTCTAGTCATTTTAATGCCTTAAACTATTCCTTTGTCTGTAATTCCAATATATAAAATTCCACCTTAAGAATTTAAAAAAGCACATATGTAATTCATAATCAAATCCATTCGAATCTCTTTAAATTATTTAAATTCATGTTTCAAATCTTCAAATTAATTGATCTCTATTCGTTAAATGTATTTTTTAGAATTAAATAATAACTAAATATTTTAATATATATCATACATCATTTTCCTTTGATTTGCTCTCTAAGATCTAATTTAATTTTGTGAATATTTTGTATTGAAATCCTTATTTTATTTGATTTTCATCATGCTTAAATGGACAGTGTCTAACATTGCAATTCTAAGATCTGATATTATTTTATTTATTTTTATTTTTACTTTTCAAATTTGCATGGCAAAGTACCATATATTCTAGGATGATACAAATATTCAATAATATTATTGCAAAAGTCATTTACTTCATTATTAGAGTCACATATGTATATTGGTTTATAATTATTACTGTTTCTTCTTTTATCACTATTATTATGATAATATTGACATTATATTATTTATTATAATGGCATAAAATGATCTTATCTTACTTAACATGAAGGATTTTAACAGGAATTAACTTTGAATTCTTATAAACTTTGTTTATTCATTTTATTTTACTTAATATAAATTTATTTATATTACATTAAATTTCAATTTGATTTTATAATTACATATTTTCAAATCAATTCTAGCATATTTTTATATTCTCATAATTTTAAATATCTATATAAATTTCAATATATATTAGAAATAAAATTAATATCTTGTTCTCTTTACTAAAATTATATTATTCTATTTCAAGAAATAATAATTCAATATTATTACATTTTAATTAAAAATCTCCATCAACTTAAACTAAATTCCTAATGATTATAATATCCTTATATTTTATTTAGAATTTATTTATTATTTAATAGTTCAACTTTATAGAAATCCAAAACTTATTTTATTAAATAATTTTATAGTAATTATTATTAATGAAAATTAGATTTCATTTTTCTATAGTAAAGTGTGTTATTATTTATAAAATAGCATAGAGAGGATTAAATTTCAATTTATTTTATTATCATATGAAATTTTATAGTATATCTTATCAATAATATTTATATAAAATGAATAATTAGTCATTAGCTAAAAGTGCAGTAGAGAGATTAAATCAAAGCAATTTTTAGGCATAATAACCTTATGAATTTGAGAGCAAATATCAATAGGATTAAAAGGAATTACCAAATCCTACAAAATTTGATTTAGATGTTATGCTTAAATTTTTAGATGAAGTAGATTCAAGTGTCAAGTAAACACATGAATTTAAGACTATAATTCAAAAGTACAAATTGTCAACATCCAAATTTTGTTTAACTATGGAGTATTATTTTGATCAAATATAATAGAAATGATTATCTGAATAATTTACCAAATGAAAAGAAAATATAAATTTATAGAGATGTAAAGTATCGATTCTTATTAAAGAGATTTCACGAATATATGATCATTAAGAAGAAGCAATAGAGTTAAAGGATAAAGTTCGAAAGATTATTACATATAAATTAGAAGATATGAGGAGAAATACAGTATTTAATAATATAATATAAAAAGAGAGAATCTAAATGGGGATTAACATTGAACTTACTGCAATTATTATTAAATAAGAATAAGGGAAATAGAGATATTTTTGATTTATTTTAAAAGAAATTATTGCCACCTGATGTAAGATAATTAGTGTGGAAAATGTGTTTAGAAAATAAATAAATAAGTGATGAATATAGTCGTCTATTAGGAAAAGCAAGAATGTTAACAATGTCAAGATTTGATGTATAAATTATTAAAGACACTGAATAAATAGTAAAATAAATGACAAAACCAGATCAATTTGATGGAAATATGATTTTTGCAATGAAAACTATTTTAAGTTATTACGAATTAAAATAAGATAGAATTCTTACAGATTATTTATACTTAATTTGTATACCACTTGTTTATGTTTTTGGAACAAGTAAACATCTATTAAAAATACCAACTGAATTGATTGGATATTTTTATTCATTATAATTGATAGTTCAATTCTTTGATCCATTAGTTGATTTGATTGTTAGACATGATGAAAAATATGAATCAGAAATGACTGATTTATTTATGAATAGTGTTAATGTTTTAGATGAAGAATTAGCTTTAAAATTTCAAAGTGTTCTTAATTTAAAGAGTCCAACTTAAAGATAAATGTTAGTAATAATTATAAAGAGATTTGTACATTCACTTGGATTTGCATTTTTACCTTTAGATGTAACTTTGTTTAATATAGATTAAATGATAATGAAGGTAGTCAAGAATAAATTAGAAATATTTATTAATATGGGAATAATGTGCTTTTGTATAAGAAAAGATATTTTAATTTGCAAAACTTGGGATTAAGTTGTTGATGTATTTTATACTAAAGCAAAATTGATTACATTATAATAATATCATGAATATTATTAAGATGTATACAAGAATGTTAAATTTTATGTATCACCCTATGATGTAGATCCATTTAAAGTAAATAGAAATGCAGAATTTGCAACAGGTATTTTATTTAATTTATTATTAATTAGATCCTTTAGCAGAAATTATTGAAAAATAATAAGATAAAGATATTAATGCATTTAAAAAGAAATGGTTTGAAGGTAAAGAATTATATGAAGATGATGATCCTAATATGGCTAGATATTAATAATAATAATAATTACCAAATAAGGATAAAGCAATTAAAGATATGAAGATGTAAGATGCAATGAAAAATGTGTAAATGCAACAAAAACCAACATAGAAATTAGGGATGGTACCTGTTTAAGATTCAGATGAAGAAGATGATCTATTTGATGGTATGGATGATTAATGATTAATAATATAATCATTTAATTTTTAAATTATAAATAAATAGAGTAGTTAATCAATTCAATTTTATATCCTAATTATTGTTTATGTGCTTTTTTATATTATTAAATAAGTATTTTTATATGTGATTAAGAAATATGTACTATTTATTTAAATAGACATATATATTAAGATTTCTTAGATATTAATTAATATAAAATAAGAAAGATTTAGATGAGATAATAAGAAGAATCATGAATAAATAAATAATAAATTATATCAAATATAATAAATATAAATGTCAGGATTATTTAAAAATTATTCAAAGTTTGTGAGTGCCTCAGTATTTGCAAGTGCAAACAAACTAATAATAAACCCAGCTAGATGGACCTTTAATTCTGCAAACCTATTTTATAATCCTTCTTATCGATATACTGGATTACCATAAGGTATCAGAAAGCATTTATGAAATTAGGACATGAATTAACAGCATTTTCTTTAGCTTAAATAGCAAGTGCTTTAACTTATGAAGCTTAACAATTTAATACAGTGGATGCTTTGAAAGATGAAGCATAATTGAATTATCAATTTTCAGCTCAATGTGCTAGAGAGGCTATTACTTTCATTAAAAATAATAATTGGGGATAAGAAGTAGAGACAAGTGCTCAATTATTGTTTGTGCTTTCAAATAATTAATTATTAAAAGATGTTAACAAAGAAATCTTATTGTCAAATTTATCATAAAATTCTAAGTATTTGTCTACTTAGAATATTGTGGATGTAGTAATTAGTTTGTAAGACCATAAAGATGCTGCATTTTGGTCATAATTTTTTACTGGCATCAAGAATAAAGAATTTATTTGGGAATTATAACCAATTGATTATCATGGTTGGGATACAATGTAATTCGATTATTTGGATTAAGTTAAAAATTCATTCAAATTGAGTAATACTTGGGCTGTATTGACTGCTCAAGATTCCTAATTAAAACGATTTGTTTTAGAAGGAGTGTTATTTGGATACACAAACTTATGGCTTCCACTTCTTTATAGAGAAAAAAGAATCAAATATGTGTTTGATGACAGATTGATTGACAGAAATGCATTTAAGAATGCCTTAAAGAAGATCAATGAAGTCCATAATGTACAAGAGTTCCTTGCAAGAGCTTGATACATTATAAATAAAAATATATATATATATAATAATGTTTTCATAAATATTCATTCTATCTCCAAGAGGTGACACTATCATCAATAGAGATTTCAGATCTGATTTACCTAAATCAACACCTGAAACATTCTTCAGATAAGCCAAAACCTATTCAGGAGATGCTAATCCATTATTTGCTGTTGATTGCATCCAATTTGCTCATATTAAAAGAGGAGGTTCTATTGTCATATTTACATTTAGGATTATATATTGTTGGTACATCTAGATTCAATTTATAACCAGCTATGTCATTAGAATTATTGGATCGATTAGCTAAAGAAATAAAAGACTTTTGTGGAGTAATCAATGAGGAAGTCCTTAGAAAGAATTTTATACTTATTTATGAAGTCAACAATACTCTATTTATCATAGATTCTAGATGAATCATTTGATTTTGGGTACCCTTAACTTATGGCTACAGAATAAATAAAACCACTCATTGTGAATGATCCAATTCAACCTTAACCTGATTCTGTCATGAATTCTTTAAGACCAAAGATTTAAACTTTTAACATTTTTGTTCCAAATACTATTGGAAGTTAAGCAGTTTAGAGATCGGTATTAAACAAAAATTAAGCAAATGAAATTTTTGTTGATATTTATGAAAAACTTAATGTTCTCTTTAATTCTAGTGCATATGTTATTAATTAGAGTATTGAAGGATGTGTATTATATTATTAATAATATAAATAGATTCAAATGACATCATTTTTATAAGGAAATCCACCTCTAAAATTAGCATTGAATGAAGATTTATAAATTGGTAGATAATAAGGATAATATTCAGCAGGTGTCATATTAGTATAAATTATATAATAATATAAAGGATGATTGTAATTTTCATGAATGTGTTAATGCAAATGAATTAGATATGAATAAAACCTTACGTATATAACCTCCTGATGGTTAATTTGTTGTTATGAATTATAGAATTAGTGGAGATTATGCTGCTCCTTTTAGATTATTTCCTATTATTGAAGAAATTTCATCATCTAAAATAGAAGTTACTATAAAATTAAAAGCATGTTTTGATGCTAAAATTTTAGCATCATATGCAAATGTACGTATTCCCATTCCAAAATAAACTGCTAATGCATATCCTGAATTATTGAAGAATGCTTAGTAAGAGACTGCAGAATATGATTCAAATAAAAAAATTGTGGAATGGTAGATTAAGAAACTATAAGGTGGTTAAGAAAGATCTTTAAAAGTATTTATAAATAGTTATATATATTTTAGATAAAATTAACACTATAAGCAACATAGACTGCTCATACAGCAAGAAAAGAGATTGGTCCTATTGCTATGAATTTTGAAATACCTATGTTCAATGTTAGCAGATTATAAATTAAATACTTAAGAATAGAAGAACGAGGCAATACTACTAATCCACATAGATGGGTGAGATATATTACATAGAGTAGTTCTTATGTATGTAGAATATGAATTCAGTTTATATACATAATAATATTATCATAATGTTTATAATTTTTCAATAGATTTATGTAAGTATTAATTAATATGTTTTAATCGATTAATTTCCAGTTTCTGGGAATTTATAATATCTGATTATTCTTTGATAATGTTTTCCCATTCTTTCATTTTCTTATGAAAATTCTTTTTTTCTTATAAATAATTCAACTAGCCATCAAGAATTTATAGTTTCTATCTAATAACATTCTATTCTTAATAAATTTCATCTGGATTCTACATAGTTTATTATAGATTTTAATCATTCAATCTATTGTTATTGATAGGATTTTTTACAATTTCTTAAGTCTAATAATTTCTTGATCTTTTTACAAGTATTCTTATTCAAATTTAATAAGAGAAGATTCATAGATCTTAATTTTATTTTCTAAAATTAGTTCTTTTTCATTATTTGAAGGCTATGTTTCTAAATCTAAGTCTTCTTAGATTACTAATTCTTCAAAAGAGTTTAGTTCTTATTGATTTAAAGAATTGCCAGAAAAACTAAATCTGGCCTCCTCTTTCATGCTTGCTAATTATCTTAAACTATGATTAATTAGATTGTTGATATTTTTAGAAGATTTAGATAATTCTTCATGCATATCAAGGAATCTAGAGTAGATTTCACTTTAAAAAACAGTTAATTATTAAGATCTGTTTGATAATTTCATTGCTTCCAAATTTATAATATATAAATATAAAATTAAATTACATTAAGTAATAGTACAAAAAGAGAATTTATAGGATCATTTGCTTTAATTCTTCTTTTCAAAATTCTCTATCCAAGATTTATATTTTTATTGCATAATTACAAAGTGAAAATGAACTTCTTCAATATTATCATCTTCTATCATTTTTTTCTATTTACCAAAATAAGTGGTTTAAGATTATGGTGTTAAAATGATAGGTTAAAGTCTTGTTTATTATGTATTTTTATTAAGAGTAATATCTTCATCACTTCCTAATTAATGATAAAATGATTCTAACATTGTGATTCTAGTTTTTTTAGCATAAGTATCTGAAATCTAAGTTTATTTTCTTGTTTCATCTTGTTTTAGTGAATGTCTAGGGTTTTTTAATCGAAAGGAAGGACTTTATCTTAATTAAAGAGGGACATTCTATAAATTATGTATAATAAGTTAATCATCTGCAGAGTTTTGCATTTTCATTTTTGTAGTCTGTATATTAGATTGCAATCTTCCACCTTTGAGAGCACTTTCTCCTCTATGTTTTTTGTTTTGGAAATACTAATTAACTCTAGTGCCTCCACTCATTTTAATTAAATAATATTCATATATGCAACTCCAAGGAAATCAAGTAGGTAGAAATCAAAATATATGCAACAGACCATTTAATTTCCATGAATAATTTATAAATCTTATTTATAACCATTTAAAATATTGTATATGCATCTTTTCATAATTTCTGAAGATTTCTCTTCTACTATTCCATTAGTTTTATTACTTTTATTCATTTTTTATCTGGATTTGAATTTAACTCAAATGGTTTTCGCTAATAACTATTGAATTAGCAGTTTTATTTCAATTTATATATATTTACTTGTATCATCTAAAATTTTCATTATTAAAATAATAAATAAATGCTTATATTTATGTATATATGCACATTTATTTTAAATTGATGTATATATACATATTAATGTTAAATTATAAGAATTTGATTAACTGATATAAACAAAAAATTAGTTAAAAAATCATTATTAAAATCTACTAGCACCATATCTAACTTCTAATCTAAGGTTGTCATCAACTGTCAATCCTGCACATACTTTTACTAAATTCTCAAGCATAGCTCTTTATCTTGATAAAGCATTGATAGTAGTGATTCCACTCTCTGATTTTGGAGCTTTCATCAAATAACTCAACCAAGACAATACTGTATCAAATCTTTAGAATTCAGAGGAATCCTTTGAGAATTGAATTCTTTCAAATAATTCACATAACAATAATAGATCCATAATTAATGGAGCAGCCAATAAGGAATCTTCACAAACATTGTAAACTGCAAATGTTTATCTTCCTCCCAAAAAGATTTCAGCAATATATTCATCCATAGCCTTTTTACTATCTCCAGTTTCAGGACAATACTTAATAACAATAGTATGATCAATATTCAATTCTTCTTCTGTTGGATATAATACTTTATTAGATTCCAAAATATCATCAACACAAGTTTTCTTACTTCTTTCTTTGCTTTTGAAACATGATTCTTATGAAAGATTCTTTCCATCATTGTTTCCTAAATGATTATATGAAATGATGGCTTTTGGTTTAATACCAGCACCTACTAAATATTCTACTAAACAAGTCTTAAATTTAGTTTATCCTGTTTTGAAATCATCTCCAGCAACAAAAACACCAGCTTNCATTTTAATTAAATAATATTCATATATGCTACTCTAAGGAAATCATGTATGTAGAATTCATACGCTATGCAACTGAAGATTTGATTTCCATAAATAGTTTCTTAATCTTATTACAACCATTTAGAATTTTGTATTGACATCTTTTCATAACTTCTGAGGATGGTTATTTATCTTGTCCATTAACTTTCTTGCTCTTCTTCATTTTTTATTTGGTTCTGAATTCAGCCCAAATGGCTTTGGCTGAAGAGTAATTGATACCAATAGAATGAGCAGCCTTATTTCAAATTTGTATATACAGCTTTAATAGTTTATTTTTCACTAACAACTGCTTTAAGAAACAAATCCTTAATTGATTAAGTAATCTTCAAATACTTCTTTTCTGCCAATCGAGGATCAAACTTTTTCATTTCTTTTTCTACCTATTATTTGATTTCATCAAGCATTTTCATTTTTAAAAGAAATTAATAAACCTATATATATTTGATTTATGATTTCATATTAATGTAAATTTGATGTATGATTACATATTAATGTTAAGTAATAATATATTGAATTAATTGATATAAACAAAATGTAGTTAAAAAAAATCATTATTAAAATCTACTAGCACCATATCTAACTTCTAATCTAAGATTGTCATCAACTGTCAATCCTGCACATACTTTTACTAAATTCTCAAGCATAGCTCTTTATCTTGATAAAGCATTTATAGTAGTAATTCCACTTTCAGATTTTGGAGCCTTCATCAAATAACTCAACCAAGACAATACTGTATCAAATCTTTAATATTCACATGAATCCTTTGAGAATTTAATTCTTTCAAATAATTCACATAATAATAATAAATCCATAATTAATGGAGCAGCCAATAAGGAATCTTCACAAACATTATAAACTGCAAATGTTTATCTACCTCCTAAGAAGATTTCAGCAATATATTCATCCATAGCCTTTTTACTATCTCCAGTTTCAGGACAATATTTAATAACAATAGTATGATCAATATTCAATTCTTCTTCAGTTGGATATAATACTTTATTAGATTCCAAAATATCATCAACACAAGTTTTCTTACTTCTTTCTTTGCTTTTGAAACATGATTCTTATGAAAGATTCTTTCCATCATTGTTTCCTAAATGATTATATGATATGATGGCTTTTGGTTTAATACCAGCACCTACTAAATATTCAACTAAACAAGTCTTAAATTTAGTTTATCCTGTTTTGAAATCATCTCCAGCAACAAAAACACCTGCTTTTTCTGCTAATTCAATAACACCTGGAACAATAGTATTTTATGGTGATCCATTAATAAATGAACATCCTTCTAAACAAGCAGCACATGCAAATATTGTTGATGCACTAATTTCTGGATGACTTGATTCAATAGATTTTAATAATTTTTCAGCTGTTCCATGAACATTTGGATCTTCAACACAAAATCTTTCTGTATTTGCTGTCCATAATAAAATTACTTTATCCAAATTATTTTATTATTTAAAATCTGCAATATTCTTTCTAATTATATTAAGATGTTCTAATTTATTATTTCCTGGTATAACATTATCTGCTCTATCACCTTAATTTGCTGCAATAAAATCTGGATAATAGATTGAAGGTAATGGTACTAACTTTTCTAAATATGGTCTCAATTTTTATTGTAAATCATATTCAACTACTTATGCTCTATTCATTGCATCAGCTAAATTCATTGAATTTATATCCCATCCACCAAATACTATATCACATGGATTAACCATAGGTAAAACATCTTTGAATGGAACAAATACTTCTTCAGTATTACATGTACCAATCTTTATAACACTACTTTATGTGAGTGAACCATAGAAATTTGGTTAATGAGTTCCTCTTCTGCTATTCCATGTAACATTGAATTTATTTGCCAATATACCACCAGTAAGTGTTGTACCATTATTACCACCCCATCCTACAAGCATAACACCTAATTTTGGTATTCTAGTATCAGTCTTGAATTTGAAATTTGTTATTTATGGTTTTGCTATGTACTTGTCTCCATTCTTTTCAATATTGGTTGACTTGTAATCATAATCAGAAATTAAGAAATGATTATCTTATTATGTTGTGGTTGATTAGACTTTCATTAATTTGAATTAATTATTAACCAAATATATACAATTATGTATTTGTAAACATTAGAGTGCGCATAAATTTTAAATATAATTAACAAATGCGTATTTATTAATAAGAAGTGCGCACTTCATTATTAAAATATTATAATTTAATTAATTAAGAATGCGTAATTTTTAATAAATGCGTACTCTTTTTTATTATTTAAAAATAAATCAATCAAATTCTTCATTTTCATATTATTATTCTTCATGATTATTATTTTCATTTTATTAATTTTAATTTTAATCTTCATATTCATTTTCATAATTTCCATCTTATTCTTCATCTTAATGATCTTATTAATATTCATCTTGTTCATTTTAATAATTCTTTTCTTAAGAATCATGTACCGAAGCTTTCTATTAATTATCTTCATTCTCATTATAATTTTTATTTTATTATTAATCAAATTCTGATGCCTATTCAAATTCCTATTATTATTCATACTCTTATTATTATTTTTCTTATTGTTCAACTATTTGACCTTCATCACGAAATACTATACCTTAATCTTATTCTTTTTTTTTCTTTGCAGCATTTTCATCAAGTGAATAATCTTGACTCTATTTATCAAATAATTCCTCATCTGATTCTTCATATACTCCTTAAACACGAAATACTACACCTTAATCTTGACTCTATTTATCAAGTAATTCCTCATCTGATTCTTCAGATATTCTCATATTCTAATGTCCTGTCATCTATTATTGTTATGATGGATCTTCTTAAGTAAATGGATCATAAGTATCAATTAATGGAATTTGTTATAAATTTTCCCCTGATTTCTCAAATAATTGTAGAAAATAGAATAGATTTTCAGGTTCTTACCAATTTAATTAAAGTGAATTTAACATTTTTCGAACATCTGATTTTGTAACTACATCTCCTTTTATTTTTTATTTATTCCAAAATTCTTATATCTTTTTTTTATTTTGTTTGAGTTAAGCTTTCATTTTAGTTTAAGCTAATTCAAAATCAAAAGTTGGAAAATTCATAAAAGTCTTATAATTTCCAATCATAGATTTCAAATTCTCTACTAATTAATTGCCATGACCAGTAAGTGAATTTAATATGGATTATACTTTAATATCATCTGTATATGAAAATGGTTCTCTAATTATAATGATGATAAATTTATTTACTGAGCAAAGATATGTCTTAAATCATCAATTTTAACTGTAACATTTTATTCTCGAGCTTGTTATTTCAATCCTTCTAACATGTCAGCAAATTATTCAACTGTAATTCCACGATATATCAATTTAAATCTTAATTCCTCTAAAATTAAATTTGGTAATTATGGTTGTCTAGGAGTAGGTTCTTTTTTAGGTTTAGCTTATTAAAGTTGTTAGTATTGTGTATCCTAAATCTATTTTATTGTTTATTTAAGATTCGTTTTGTCTATCTATAATTTTTTGATTTAGTTTTTTTAATCTTGAATTTGATTTTCCAAAGTTTACTGTTGTTATTAATTTTTTTTGTACAATTGCTAAATAAATGTATCAACAAAATACTTGTAATTAACGTATCTTTTCATCTGATTATTAAGTTTTTTAATTAAGTGCTTTATTTTCAGCAATCAGATTTTCATTAGTTTTGAGTAGTTTTTGAACTTCACTTTCAAGTTAAAGACTTTGATTATATTTACTATCAATATGTGATATAAATTATGTACCTTAACATAGATTAAAATTATGATTAACTCTCTTCTATAAGTTTACGCATACGTATTGTTTCATCAAAATAAGCCTTTCGATCACACTCTAACTCTTAAAATTTTGTGACTTTAGTATTTTTTTTAAGGTGTTCAACTTAGACTGTACGTTCTTTGAGTTACTATTGAAGGTCTTTGTTCTATTTTTTGAGTTATATAAGTAATAACTCATTGGCCTTCTTCTTATTTGGTGTTTACTCTGTCATGTTTTCACAGAGTCTCTCATAATTAAGTAGCTCTTTCTGAGTATATGTGGTTGGCTTACTTCGGTCTGTTAGATGCGTGTACGTAACTTGGTGTTTTCTTCTTTTATATAGTTGTTTTCAATTTTGTAATTTTGAAGTTCCATAAAAAGTTTCTCTTTATCTATAAATTTGAACTGTCTCTTGAAATCATCTGCTTCTAGTTTGATCAATTGATTAAAATTCTTTTATGCCTAGGAATTTTATGTATCGTTATTATTATTGTTATTAATTTTCATTTATATTAATCACTTTAAATGTTATAAGAACGATAGCTATTCAGGTGTCAAAGGGCCTTTTGAAAATACATTTTCAGTTTCTCCAAGTAAATCTAATTATGATTTTCTAATGTAATGTAGAGATTAGATACCTGTTTTCAGTTTACTTTCCATATGATTTTGTCTCATCTCTTTGTATATTCAACCAGTCAGCTTTTTCATTTTATTTATTTACTATCATCTAATCAAAATATAATATAATATATACTTAAGCTTAAGTTGCAATATCATTTTATAATTCTAAAAGTGATTATTCTAATCTTAAAATTTAAGCATGTAAATAAGCAACAGCACCTTCTAAAGATTGATTAGCTATTTCTAAACGAGCACTATATAATAATAAATTAATTAATACATAGCTTATTAAAATGCTGCTTCTCTAGCATCATCAGCTTCCATTTCTTATTTCTAACTAAAATTATATCAAATATAATTTATACAGTTAAAATAGACTATCAGCTAAATCTTCAATGACTTAAACTACTCTCTCTAATGCAGATTGATCAGATTTTAATGTTGAATCTTGAGCCATGGCAAGTGATAATGAAACCAAAGAATTGAAACCTCTTCTATCTGGGAATCTTTAAATGAATTTTTTGTGATGATGTTCAATATCAGCAAAGATCTCTTATTGAGTAAAAACAGATCCAGTTTTTATTTATTAAATGAGTTTCTTGCCTTAATTCAAAGCAGCCAATAAACCAACAATTTCAGATCTTCTTTAATCATAAGCTTTCTTGCTTTCTTCTCTTTCAGCTGTAAGTGCAGCAATACGATCTAAATTTCTTTATTTTTCTGCAAATTTGGATTCACCTTAAGATCTCTTATCATTAAGTTCCTCCTCTTTCAAAGGAACTATTGAAAATTAGATATAATAATTATACGCTATGCCTCATCTTATGCCTTTTATTATTTAGCTTTAGCAAGAGCTTAATCAGCTTCATTAATATATTATGTAATTTGTCCATTTCTATTTTGTAAGTAGTTTGTATGTTCAGTTTAAGCTGCATTAATGTCTACTTATAATTGTTTAATAAACTATAACACACGTTCGACATTATTTCTGAAGATTGAATATAAATATATACTCTTGAACTTAAATTGTTTGTAAAATTGTCTTTCCGAATTCAGATTGACTGAGCTTGTTGAAAAAGTCAATTCTTTGATCTGCAAATGTGAGAGTCACAATGCATAGCAATACAAGCAATTTCATTAATTAAAATAAAAAAACGGGTTAAAGAAAATCATTTATCTAAAAGTAATAACTCAGCTTGATATTCAGCAATCTGTCTAAGAAGCCATTCACAGGGATAATGTTTTTTCAAATTCTAATAAACTTGAGCACATAAATTAATCTTGATTTATAGATTCATCCTTCTATCCATATTTAATTATTAATCAAATAGTAGATCAAATTTTTCAGGCTCATCAATTAATATATTGATTTTTGCTGTCTTAGATGTCTGTACTTTGATTTAATAAACATTAGGAAATATAGGTCTTTTCTTAATCTTTTAAGTACTCTCTACTTCATTAAGTGAACTAGCATTTGTGGTTTTTGAAGAATTGGGAGGAGATATTTCCAATTTCTTAGAAATTATTGTATTGTAATTTGTTGTATTAACTTAATTCAACAAATTGCATTAAACTTTTACAACTTTTTTTATATGAATCTTTATTGATAAGATAGCTTTGCTAACTTTGAGTAAGATTTCTAAAAGATGAAACAAACGTAGAATGAGGATTATAGCATATATAGTATCTGTCATAGGAAGAATATCCATAACGATCATTGCATCAAAGCACATGAAGCAACCATATATGAAGTGATAAGAATCATTTGATTTATGAAAATGTCTAACTATATTTGGAGTAAGTAAGGAGGCAACAACATATCTAACAATCTAGGAACTAATGTCAATCCAAATGTACCTTGGTGTCAACCCCAAAGTTGTAATTGCATTCACGAACAATTGACATACGTAATACACCTTAAGACATCACTTTTTATGGTAATTTCAATCTAGAGTACAATAGAACATTAAGGGCTAGCTCAACACTTCCCCAAACAAATTCACTCAAATTTCCTGTGATCATAGATCCGTTTTAAAATAATATAATTAATATATATACTACTGTGTATTATATAATATCATTTTAATATTACTGAATGTTATAATACCATTTCGTCGTTGTATTGAAATTTGCATTCTCTAAATTAATCTCTATATACTTAGCAACACCCAAATCATTTTCTCTTAAGCTAAAATAACTTACTAAATGGATTTAGATAAAATATCTCTATAATAAACTTAATTAAATACTTCATAATAAATCCAAATCTTGAATTTGTTATTAGTGTTACTATATAATACAATTGTTTATTATAATAGTGAATTACTATAAATGCTCTCTATGTTAGATCCACCTAATAATTAAACGCTTAATATCAAAATTTATATAGATAATACTTCTTTATCATTATTGAAATCTAAGATGAATCAAATTCTTATAATTAATCAAGATATTTCGATTGTGTCTATTCTTAATCCTAAATATATAACTGATAAATTATAAGCAATTCTTATAAAATACTCTCCAAATTGATAACAGAGAATAAGCAATTTAATATATTTATAATGAAAACTGATAAAAAGTATGTATGATAAATTCATAATACATAATATATCTATTATTCCTAAGGAAGGTGAATAATATAGAAATGGTTTTATATGGAAAGACATTTAAAACTAATCCATAATTTCTAACAAACTCTTAAACATAGTTATTAATTATAAGATCAGGTTATCTTTATCTAATATTGTCGAAAACTTTCAAGATACAATAATTACTGAGAGTTGTTATAATTGGTTTTGTTTGTTTTTTTTCTTGATACTTACTCTGAGAGAAGGGATATTTAAAACTTTGATTTTTGAAGGTTATCATTCTTTTAACCCATCTATTTGCAAAATATTTACACACAATACAATATAATTAATATCGTTCAATAATGTAGATAGATTATGACATTAAATGAATAATGGTTCATGAAATAATTTTATATTTTTAGCAAAATGAGTTAATCCAAATTTATGAGTTTTTTATTAGAATCAATTAATGTTTAATTAAATAGTTAAATATTTTACATGAACTTTGAATGCTATTAATTATTCTATATAATTTTTACTTCATATTTTTAAGTGTCCTTGAATTTAACTAATGAATTGACATTTTATAGTGAGTTAAGTGTGTATCATTTAAGAATCCTATAATAACTAAATGTTAAATACATAAATTTTCCAAATAATCTCATAAAATCAAATATATATATGCTAAATTTAATAAGGGTTCTTGCAATTTATTTAAATCGAAATCAGTAAATTCTTCTAGCTAATCAATATATTTCTTAAGAATTTATCTTTTTTATATAACAATTAGTATTAATATTATTTCGTAAATCTCAATTATTGACTGTATTACTTGAAATTTGATAAAATNCTGAATGTTATAATACCATTTCGTCGTTGTATTGAAATTTGCATTCTCTAAATTAATCTCTATATACTTAGCAACACCCAAATCATTTTCTCTTAAGCTAAAATAACTTACTAAATGGATTTAGATAAAATATCTCTATAATAAACTTAATTAAATACTTCATAATAAATCCAAATCTTGAATTTGTTATTAGTGTTACTATATAATACAATTGTTTATTATAATAGTGAATTACTATAAATGCTCTCTATGTTAGATCCACCTAATAATTAAACGCTTAATATCAAAATTTATATAGATAATACTTCTTTATCATTATTGAAATCTAAGATGAATCAAATTCTTATAATTAATCAAGATATTTCGATTGTGTCTATTCTTAATCCTAAATATATAACTGATAAATTATAAGCAATTCTTATAAAATACTCTCCAAATTGATAACAGAGAATAAGCAATTTAATATATTTATAATGAAAACTGATAAAAAGTATGTATGATAAATTCATAATACATAATATATCTATTATTCCTAAGGAAGGTGAATAATATAGAAATGGTTTTATATGGAAAGACATTTAAAACTAATCCATAATTTCTAACAAACTCTTAAACATAGTTATTAATTATAAGATCAGGTTATCTTTATCTAATATTGTCGAAAACTTTCAAGATACAATAATTACTGAGAGTTGTTATAATTGGTTTTGTTTGTTTTTTTTCTTGATACTTACTCTGAGAGAAGGGATATTTAAAACTTTGATTTTTGAAGGTTATCATTCTTTTAACCCATCTATTTGCAAAATATTTACACACAATACAATATAATTAATATCGTTCAATAATGTAGATAGATTATGACATTAAATGAATAATGGTTCATGAAATAATTTTATATTTTTAGCAAAATGAGTTAATCCAAATTTATGAGTTTTTTATTAGAATCAATTAATGTTTAATTAAATAGTTAAATATTTTACATGAACTTTGAATGCTATTAATTATTCTATATAATTTTTACTTCATATTTTTAAGTGTCCTTGAATTTAACTAATGAATTGACATTTTATAGTGAGTTAAGTGTGTATCATTTAAGAATCCTATAATAACTAAATGTTAAATACATAAATTTTCCAAATAATCTCATAAAATCAAATATATATATGCTAAATTTAATAAGGGTTCTTGCAATTTATTTAAATCGAAATCAGTAAATTCTTCTAGCTAATCAATATATTTCTTAAGAATTTATCTTTTTTATATAACAATTAGTATTAATATTATTTCGTAAATCTCAATTATTGACTGTATTACTTGAAATTTGATAAAATAATACACTAACCATCTTATAAATTAATAATAATAATTAAAGTAATTTCTAATATCTTTTTTGAATATTCTTAATCAAAGTATTTATCCTATAATGTTCTGATGCAAAGAGTACCAGAACAAAATATGGAGATTACATATATTGATATAGTTAATATATATATTTGTTTATTAATAAATAAAAATTAGATTTATATAAAGATTTAGTTTATATATCTCTAAACACTGTTATAAACATTAATTTAATAATAATTTAGAGTAATTCATTTTTGTTGAGGAAACATTTAAACAATTAACTCATGGAGGTTCTTTGCATCCAATGGTTTTGTGAGAAAGTAGTCCATTCCAGAATTGAATGACTATATCTTAGTATCTAGATCTGTAAATCCAGTATTGGCAACACACCATGCTCTTCTAATGGTTTTATTTTTTATTAGACTTTTTATTTCCTTAACTGTCTAGTATCCATTTAAAATGGGCATATTTATATCTATGAAAATAAGACTGTAATATTTGTTTTAACATATATGACAACCTATTTCCAATTTTTACATAATTTTATTAAGTGCTTCTTTTCCATTATATGCATAATCACATTTAGCTCTATGTTTTTGCATTAATAGCTAGAGACTCAATATGTTAAAGTACTCATCATCAACAATTAATACTCTTGCACAACAATTACTTTATATGGAGCATTCAATAATTTCATATTAAAATTTAGGACTGAAATTTCTTGGTTCTTGAATAATTAAGAATTCATCCTCACTTATTGGTACAGATCCTTGATCTTAGACTAATAATAATTTAGGTTATCTAAGAACATTGTCATCTTCAACAAGAGAATTCTTATAATTTATTGAATCACTGCTTTAACTAATAGATGGTAATATAAATTTAACTGAATTAGTGAAAGGTGATTCAATATATGAATTACCTGAAATAAGTCTAATGATAGATCTACTAGATCTGAGTTCAACAGATTTCCTATTATCATAATTGCTAATTTCATGTAAATGATTTTTGATCAAGAATGTAAAAATAGTTCCTTTTTCTTTTTAATCACAAATTATAGGAATATTTCGACCATTTAATCTTTTGATTATACTATTTGAAATACCAATTCCTAAACCACTTCCAACTGAATGAGGTGAAATCTTTACAAATTAATTCTTTCCAATAAGAATATTCTACATTCTGGCCATCTCTTCTTCAGTCTATATTGAATAATAAATATTATAATACTAATCCAGGTCCAGAATCTTATATAGATATTTAACATTATGATTTATTAGTTTCAATTTTAATACGTATTGTACCTGTAGTTGTGTATTTAACAGCATTATGTAAAAATTGAAAATATACTTATCGAAATCTTTATCTATCATTGATAATATTAGCATTGATTAATTAATAATCATGTACTAAATTAATCTACTTATTTTTAATAATATCAATCATTAGAGTCTCAATATATTTGACTTCATCATTTATGTTAAATTCCTCTAATTTTAGATTGAATTATTACAAGCTTATTAAATTGTAATCTCTTATATTACTTACAATTAAACCTAATTGCTCACTATTAATTTTAAGTGGTGAAATGTACTTTTACTTAACAGATTCTGGTACTTCATCATCATGCAAAGCCAAACTTGAGAAAACCATTATACTATTAAGATTAGTGCCTAATTCATGAGATAAAGATCGACTAATATCCATTAATACTTGATTACTACTATCATCTTATAATTTCTTAATCAATAATTGACTTAAATATGAAAATGAAACAATAAAGTTAAAACTATCAGGATGATAAATTGGAATTAAGTTTAATGTTACATTCTCTAAATCAAAAACTTGACTCTTTAATATAATCAAAGATATAAATTATGTCTTGATATTATCATTAAATTTAAGCATGAATTCTTTAAAACTGTATATTTATTCATTTTCTCCAAAATTAGAAGAAATTACTTGTAATTACATAAATTATTCAACTAATATAATATTTTAAGGAGTAGATTCATTAAGCCAATGAATTTTAAGATCAAAATTACTCTCCAGAATTTCTAAATTCTCCTTGATAATAATGAAATTATTAGATTAGAATAATTTCTAAAAGTTTGATCTTGGTGATTAACTTGGGGTAACTTCGTAATCTTATTTTATTTTCTGATTAGATGTCATATCAATAATCACTTAATTCTGAATTAAATTTTGTTATCTATTCACAGGGTAATTCTTATTCATCATTTTACAAAGTTAAATCAAAAAAATAATGGCTATCACTAACTCTATTGTTAATATAGCTACATTCTCAATAACAATTCTATCTTGATTAAATATATTTAACATTAAACCAAACATTCCAATCATCTCATATAAAAATATATGATCAAAAATGTTCTTAGATTTCAAGGATTAACACATTATTACTTAAAGTAAGAAGCTAACTCCTGGTGAATTACCCAAAAACCAAATACCCAAATATTTAGTACAAAAACTTAAGTAGATCAAAATTACTTTGAGTTTGTTGTTTTCCAATCTCGAATTAACCATTATTTCAAGTATAATTGACAATCCAAATAATGATCCCACAGCCATCAAATTCTAATTCTCTTTAATCATTATAATCAAAATTACAAATATAGCAAATGTATATACTCAGTCCTGTTATAAACATATTACTCATAAACTGCATGCATATTACAAATTCCATTTAATTATAATATTATAATGATGAATTTTAAGAGATATTATTTCAAAAATACATATATGCATTAAGTCAAATCTCAAGAATTAATGTTAAAATTAAAACCCAATACAAAAATATAATTAATTTATAAATCAAATCTTCATTTATATTAATAAATATTAAATAATTCCTTCTCACTCTCATTATTATATCTCACCATTAAATATCTATCTAATTATAAAATATTTTAGTCTATCCTAATATTTCTTTTCTCTCCATTTATAATTAAATTAAACCATTTTGGAATATCATAAGTCCAAACATCAATCTAATTAAAATTAATCTTTTCATTATTAATTCTTATCACCCATTTATCTTTATTCTTATCTTTATCCAATTTTAACTCTACAACATCTGAACTCATTTATTCATGTATTTCCATTTTCACTTTCTAATTACTTTCATTCACTAATCTCACTACAAATTTTTAATTCTCCTTATAATCCACTTCTAATATCATATTCAATGGTTTCTTAACTGAAATTCTTTCATTTTTTTAATTATTTAATTGTATTAATTCTTAATATTTCTCCTATAAAGAACTTCTCCCAATGTTAATTTTCAAATTTTAACTTCTCCTAATCTAATCATTTATCATTTCATTTAAATTATTATTCTTAAATTCATTCTTTTCTAAAATATATCTCATTCCTTGATATTTAAATTTCCATACATCATTTACATCATGGAAATATTCATTTCTTTTGACAATTTATTCAAATTCACTTTTCTATACTGTTTCCTTCTAAATTATAGATATAATATAATATGCTTCTAAATTACAGAGCACTTTCTATTCTAAATATTGTAAGAAGGGTTCTATTTACATTAATAATTCTTGATTTAATTTTGGAAAATATTTAATCTTATCCTATAATTATTATTTAATTGATTATTCAATATAATTCTTAGTTAACTCTCTTAAATCAAATTTAAAAGTATTTTCATGAAACAATTCTCTTGACAATGTATTAATAATGAATCTAATCACTTCAAATTCTAAAATGTAACAATGATTTATCTTCTTAATCAATTCAAATAATTTCTCTTATTATCTTTCACTACATTTTACCTATCCATTTAGAAAAGGCATCCATTCAAATCTTAATAGATTATCACTATTCTTCTATAAATAATCAAATGTATTTTCAGCATTCTTCTATATCCATTATAAATAATGCTTTAAAGAATAAAAATCTAAATCTGGCACTTATAATATGTCAAAATCAATAAATCTAATAATTGTATATACGCTTTTGTGATAAGATATTATATTCAGTAATTTTAGTGATATTGTTAGACTGTAATTAATAAAATCAATTTATTTTGCTTCCTAAAATAATTGACTTTATTGATTAACCTATTGGTTTTGTTGTTGATTAACAAGATTATGATATTATTTTACCTATTTATCAAGAAAATATTAATTAAATTGATCTCTAAAATCTTTTGATAATTCATATATACTTTCGTATAATTATTAAATTGTACTTAATTTAAATTTTTTAGGAATTCCTTTCTAATACATATGCTAACTATAAAAATTTATTATTTAATCATAAGTTTCTTTTTATTGTATTTTATATAATTTAAATCTTGAATCCAAAATTAAATACAACATTTAACCTAATATATCAAAATTCCTTCTCTTTCTCTCTTCTTTCTCTATAATTATATTAGATTAGTTTTCTTAATATCTATATTTTTTAACTAGAAATTCATAATTTTTATCTTCTTATTTCTAAGCAATTGTTTATCTAAGTAATTTGGCCTTTAATCTTTCAATCTTATTTTCTTTTTCAATTTTTAATTTTTCATCTTATTTATTAAGTCTTGACTAAATAAATTATTCTTCTGATTTATTTTTATCTTAAATATTCTTTATATATTATTTTTATTTATCCAATAAAGTTTATTTAGGTTCCTTCTTCTAAGGTTTCTTGATCTCTTTAACTTCAATTACTTTCTCTTCTGTATTTAATTTAGACAAATCTAATATTTACAATGTTATGGATGATACAAATCTTTATTTTTAAATAAATGTATCCTGTAATTCTTTAATTTAAGTACTTAGATATAATAGATAATCAAATGTAGTTAAATCTTCATCTAAAAACTTGACTTCCTTAAGATAAAATACATCAATAATCAAACTTTTATTATATGGATAATTAGAATTCACATAATTAATAATAATCTCTAATATTTTTAACTATTTATTTCTCAATTTAAAGAATTTAAGAATGAATGGAATTTGATCTTAATAATGGCTGAGTGATTATTAAATAATAAGCATTTCATCCATATATTTGAGAACATCTTGATGATGTTTTGATTCATAAATAGGAGTTTGAGTTAAATAATAGAATGGCATATGATGTATACGAATTTGTAGCATTTTAAGAAACAATTAATATTAACCATCTTTTTCTTAAAATTTATTATACCAATCTTCATATTAAACTTTAATTTATTCATATAATATAGATGATTAAATTCTAAGTGTATGAAGTGCATCACATAATGAATTATCTATTATCAATAATTACTTTGTATTTTCACATTTTTCATATGCTTCTTAAAATGAAATAAGAAAATTGAAAATGTTATCAACATTTTAATTATCAAAGAAATTATCAAATTTATAAGAATTAAGAGCATCTTAGCTAATTTAAAGTTATTGTATGTGTTAATTAATGATATTTTTCATTTGTTCTTTAGTAGTGTTGTATTATTTATCAGATTGAATCTTAAAACCAATTGGAATAGAAAATAAATCAATTTTCTCATTGATTAATTTCATTTGTTAATTGGCTTTATAATATGACCAAGCTTTTAATCTCTGTGTTTTATCATTAGCTTCTAGATTGATTTTAGAAGTTTGAATGATTTCATATTTCTGATTAATGTTATTATAAAAGTTTAAGGAATCTTATAAGAAGCTAATTTGATCTTTTAAAGTATTTTTTAGTTTATTAATTAGACCTTATTCTTTGAGATTATAAGTCATAGTTTACAAAAAGGTTTAAGGTATTTATTAAAATGTAGTATGATGATCTTGATTTTATTGTTATGGAGGGTTAAGATCATCACTAATAATAGTGACAATTGAATTCAATAATTATTCTGGAGTTTGAATCTGTTATTATATTTATTATTTTGGTGGACGTTATTAATTATGGAAAACATGGGATGGACGCTTAAGTTATTTTTTCTAATAATCTGATTTCTATGGGTTTCAGAATATATAATTACTGTAGGTGGTGGTTTATATAGTCTTTGTGAGACAGAGGTGATTCCATCATGATGTTTAAGTATCTTTTTAATGAGATAGATGAAGTCTTTAAATTAATTGGAGAGAGATAATAAGCAAATATTCATAATAAAGTAATTTAGTTTTATTAATTCATTCTTCATAAATTCCTTTATCTTGTAATTGTCTAATGTAATTAGTTATATTTTGACATATAGATTGATTACGAGATTTGAGAGATTTGTAAAGAACATAGGCAGAATTTTTATAAATACTTGGAAATTATAATTTTTGTGTATTTGGTTCAGTATGTTTTTACAAACTTTAATGTCTTTAGATATTTTTATTGCAAGTAGTAGAAATATTATCTATATTGATTTCATCATAATTTCTTATATTTTTTTTGATGATTTCACTTTTATCACAATTAGAAATAACATCATTAATAGATAATCTATCTTTTTTATCAACTATAATTCTAAGTTCTTACTTTTTATCAGATTAATGTAGTGAATTAGATTCACTTCTCATTACTCTTTTATGTTTATACCTCTTAACTGCTTCAAATTATATAATATCTATTCTTTTAGTAATTGGAGACTTTTCAATTTCCTTCCCCATACAAAATAGTTTCATGTCTAAAAACCTTTTAACTGCAGACTACAATGATATTTTAGTTAGATCTATCAAATGTTGAATTAAACATAGAAATATCTACTACTTGGAATTGTGAAGTAATTCATTGTACAAAATGTCACTTTTTTAAACGAAACCAAAATGTTTATACAACTCTATGAATACTTTGCTGGTGGATGTGAGAGTGATTTCATTAAATCGTGTCTTAACTAATGTTATCGTGTACATCAAATCCTGGTGCAATTATTTTAAATATTTGTTTTGCTCCTTCTTGGAATTGAGCTAAATCCTACTGTGTCAATTTACGAAATTAATTAAGTGAACTCATAAGGTCAGTCTCTTAAATTTAACGAAGTTTCTCTCTATACTCTACTTTATAGTAAAGATTACTAATTTATTTTATTGCCATAGTATTATTGAAGATATTCTAGATGTCTGAAACTCTCTCTTTCATTATATCAATTATTATCATTAAATTATATATTAATATATATATTAAATGAATAATACTCATCAAAAAATTCCAATTCAACAATCTGATTTACAAGAATAAATGTATTCCTATAAACCACTTCTAGATAATTCTTATACCATCATTAAAAGTCTTGTGAAAAATAAGGAAAATACTTGGAAGCAGATATAGCCAAAACAAAATTGAATGAATTGACTAAAACATTAGATTTCTAATATAAACATGAAGTTGCTGAAAGACATTCAGATGAAAAGTAACAAATAGACAAAGCTCATTCTGATGAATTTAATTAATTTAATATCTTTTGGGATGAGAAACTAAAGTAATTTGATTCTGAGGCTAATAAAGCAAAAGATGAGATTCTATCTAGACATCAAATAGAATTGACATCATTTCTTGAAGAACTTGATAATACAATTCCATTAAAACCAAAAGATTCGGCATAATTGTTAAAATTAAGAAAGACAGAAGAATAATTGGCAAAGTTAGAAAAGTAATCAGCACCTAAATCATTTAAGTTATAAGGAAGCTCATATGATCTAATAGAGAATATTGTATTTAGAAAAAGAAGAATTTAATAAATGGAATCATACTAGATAGAACAAAATTAAAAATTTAATATAATAATTAAGATAGAAATAAATTATAGAATTAAATGCTTTGTAATAACGTATACTTTCAGTACAAGAAGAATTAAGTAAAAATAAATCTTAAGAATTATAAAAGTATTTTATAATAATATATAATTAATATAGAATGCTATCAAAATATTAACATGTAAGAAAAGAATTAGAGAATTAATAGAATTAAGAAATCAATAGACTTGAAAAATCCATTAAAAATTAATCAATTATGTCTAAAATGAATTCTTAAATGAAAAAACCATAAGATGAAAATTACAATCTCAAATGATCAAATTTATACAATTATCTAATTCACAATTCAATCAATCATTCAATTATTTTAATTCCTCTTACATTCCCCAATAAATCTTATATTGCATAATATCTATATATTACAATGAATGTAAATAATTCATCTATTTTATTTGAATTATTATACATGAGCCATCACATAATTACTATATTTTTATATGATATTATTTGTAATCCCTATTTTATTTAGAAAAATGAATTTCCTAATAAATTTTCTTGTATTTTCATCAATCTCATCCCTCTATAAAGTTTACATATCATTATCTAATATCTTAAATTCAGGAGCCATAATCTCTACTCTATTCTAATAGTTCTCTATAAAATATTCACTAAATGCTATTTTTTCTAAGTTGTTACCTTACCATCAGCAGGATATTTTTCATTATATTTGTTAGCCAATTCACTATATACATATGTTTTCAAAAAGAATCTTAAATGATCTATGTCTTTCTCAGATTAAGTGGTTTTCTCATTCAACTAAAACTATTAAATTTTATATACTAGACGTTATTGCAATAAATTAACATGTAATGCAAATGTATTCTCCATATAATCTGGTAATTACAAAATTGGAAATTAAGTAAGTAAATAATCAGACATGAGATATTATTTCAATTCTAATGCCAAATTATAACAATTTTTATTCATGAATAACGTATATGGACTAAATGAGCTTAATTTAACAACAATCCAATTACTTTTATGTTTTTAGTATTCGTGGAAACATAATTTAAATTAATGAAGAATATCTCAAATTTAATTCAAGATGAATCTCAAATCAATTAACTTAGACTTAGTAGTCATAGAAAACATCCATCTCCTTAAATTCAGATATANAAAGTTAGAAAAGTAATCAGCACCTAAATCATTTAAGTTATAAGGAAGCTCATATGATCTAATAGAGAATATTGTATTTAGAAAAAGAAGAATTTAATAAATGGAATCATACTAGATAGAACAAAATTAAAAATTTAATATAATAATTAAGATAGAAATAAATTATAGAATTAAATGCTTTGTAATAACGTATACTTTCAGTACAAGAAGAATTAAGTAAAAATAAATCTTAAGAATTATAAAAGTATTTTATAATAATATATAATTAATATAGAATGCTATCAAAATATTAACATGTAAGAAAAGAATTAGAGAATTAATAGAATTAAGAAATCAATAGACTTGAAAAATCCATTAAAAATTAATCAATTATGTCTAAAATGAATTCTTAAATGAAAAAACCATAAGATGAAAATTACAATCTCAAATGATCAAATTTATACAATTATCTAATTCACAATTCAATCAATCATTCAATTATTTTAATTCCTCTTACATTCCCCAATAAATCTTATATTGCATAATATCTATATATTACAATGAATGTAAATAATTCATCTATTTTATTTGAATTATTATACATGAGCCATCACATAATTACTATATTTTTATATGATATTATTTGTAATCCCTATTTTATTTAGAAAAATGAATTTCCTAATAAATTTTCTTGTATTTTCATCAATCTCATCCCTCTATAAAGTTTACATATCATTATCTAATATCTTAAATTCAGGAGCCATAATCTCTACTCTATTCTAATAGTTCTCTATAAAATATTCACTAAATGCTATTTTTTCTAAGTTGTTACCTTACCATCAGCAGGATATTTTTCATTATATTTGTTAGCCAATTCACTATATACATATGTTTTCAAAAAGAATCTTAAATGATCTATGTCTTTCTCAGATTAAGTGGTTTTCTCATTCAACTAAAACTATTAAATTTTATATACTAGACGTTATTGCAATAAATTAACATGTAATGCAAATGTATTCTCCATATAATCTGGTAATTACAAAATTGGAAATTAAGTAAGTAAATAATCAGACATGAGATATTATTTCAATTCTAATGCCAAATTATAACAATTTTTATTCATGAATAACGTATATGGACTAAATGAGCTTAATTTAACAACAATCCAATTACTTTTATGTTTTTAGTATTCGTGGAAACATAATTTAAATTAATGAAGAATATCTCAAATTTAATTCAAGATGAATCTCAAATCAATTAACTTAGACTTAGTAGTCATAGAAAACATCCATCTCCTTAAATTCAGATATATGACAAATTAAAGTCTTCTATTCAACTTGACTGTTAGAATAGTTATACTATTAAAATAAAAACACCAACAAGTTCTGATAAGAAACTTTTTGAATATAAGAATTAAAAGGATGTAGAATTATTAGTCTCTTTAATTATTTAACCATGTTTACATATGAATAATTGCATACATGAACAATTATATGAAAAAAATTAACAAGGCAAGACATTTAGATAGGTTTGTGAATTTAGAGTAGATTGGACTAAAAAAATAAAGAAAGCTGAGAGACATTTTGAAAACTCAATTCAACATAAAAAAGTTTAACAAATACAATGTTAAAATAATGATTAATTTTAAATTATTATTCTTGAGGCTATTAATAATAAAGAGACAGCCTTAAAAATGATGATTGACAAAGCCAAAAAAGAATCATAATTCATTGAATATGCAAAGAGATTTGCAATTCAATATAGACAAAGAATGGATTATTGCGAATCGATATTTAGTTAATTTGAAGACGTACAAAATCGTAAGAAATATATCTATCCACCTTCCTTCTGGTCAATTCTTGATTGTTCTTGCAATGCTACTATGTCATGAATTTTTTAATTAATTAACCGTTGATTTATTTAAATGTCAAAACACTCTGAAAAGAAAACTAAAGCAGTCGATTATAGATATGATCATCTTCAATCATACTATTAAACATATGTTCCTACACCATATGTAGCTTCTACATATGAATAACCAATAGTTTTACTACCAAATATTTAAACAACATAAGTCATAACAACAGAACCTACAATAATAAGAGAGAGAAGAGTAATACAAGGAGAATCATAATTTATAAAATAAGATCATATGATATAAGAATAGAATTGCTGTTTACCTTGTATGCCTTGTGTTTAATGTTGTGACAAAGAATAAAAGGTTGTTACAAGATAAGTAGTGTTAAAAGGTATAGACAATTAATATTTATAGAAAAGTAACCAATAGTATAAAATAGAAATGAAGATTATGAGAAGAAATTGGATGAAATAGAAAAATTACATATACAAGAAATTAAAGAAATGGAATTAAAGATGTAATAATAATTAGATCAATTGCAGAATTAAAAACTACAAGATGAATAATAACGATAATTATTAGATTTAAAATAATCACTCTTTGATATTAAACATTAATTAACTTAAAGAGTATAATAAACTCAACCTTAATAATCTTAAATTATCAACCCATATTAAATCGAAAAATTGGAAATACAATTAGATAAGAAAAAGAAAAAAATTAAGGAATTGAAACAAATAATAAATAATATTTAAATAGAACTTTAATAAAAGAATAGTTTGATTTAAGATTTAGATCTCAGATTAAGATAACCATTACCTTAATCTGTTGTTCATGTTCCAGTCCCATAAGAGAATTATGAATTGATTAACTAAGTGAGATATTTAGAATAAGAACGCAATGCTTTATTAAGAGAAATAGATTCTCTTAAATTCACTAATTCAGAATTATCATCGTTATCTTTTAAAGATGATCCTGAGAAAATTAGATTAAAATAAGATTATAGTAGAATGATAAATGATTTCAGATTTGTAGAATAAGAAAATATTAAGATGGCAACAATTATAGGATAAAAAGATGATTTGATTAAATCATTAGAATAACGAATCAGTGTTGAATTATCAAGATAATCAATATTACTTTAATAGTAATCCCCTTAAAGAGTTATACTTGAATAAACTACAACTACTCGTCCAATTCAAACATAATATGTAATAGATTCATCTCAATCATATCCTCCATAACCAATTCATAAGTAATACATTATACAAGACTAACCTATCTAAACTATGTAACCAACACTTATACAATAACAATAATAAACACTTCCAAATGTGAAAATAATATCTTGATCAATATACATACATATAGTATTTAATATCATTTTATAATAAATTCTATTATTGTTACATATTATTCATTAGATTATTTATATTAATTGTCTAATCTTTTAATAGTAAATACATTATATAAAGGATAATTCTATTTAAATTTTAATATAGATATTTTAGATAAGTATAAATCTATTATAAATAGGAAATATAAAGTAAGTTAACATAATTTTATTATTAAATGATATATTTTTGTGTTACTCTATCTATCAAGATTATACTTAATTTAGTTAGGCATAAATATTAATTAATTAACAACCCCATCCAAATATGAGCAATGGTAGTGTGTGCAAATTAAAGTAGTCTTCTTTATCGGCCGTACTGATTTGGTGGACTTTATACCTCACGGTTCAGTGAATTAGATCCTAGTTGATGCTACTATCATTAGATTATTCGGAGGATTTCGTTCTTTTTTTCTATTCGGCAATAGGTACTTTAATAAAATAGTTAGGGATGATGTATGGGTTTTTGGTGATAATTCTCATGCTTAATTAGGATTAGGTGAGGTTTCTGAAGTACAAAAAAGACCTTAAAGACTATATTGCAATTATGAACTTCTAACTTGTGCTGAAACCTATACCTATGCTTATAATTGGGAAGGTCTTTATTATTGGGGTGAAACAAATTTTGGTTGTTCATAATATAAAGGATTGTGTTTGGATCCAAAATAATTACCTTAAAAAGGTGTGTCATAATTATGTGCATAAAATGATCGATTTTATTATATTTAACATGGTGATTTATATGGTAATGGATTTACCCATTTACTTGGAGTTAAAACTAATGTAGTTTCAACATCAAAACCATTACTAATAATGAATAAGGTAGTAAAGATATCATGTTCAATTAGTCATTCTTTATTATTGGATGAGAATGGATATGTATTTTCATGGGGAAATGGTAAGAATGGAGAATTAGGATTATAAATGGCAGGATATACATTCTAAACTTATTGCTGTACGCCTACTCAAATCAAATAATTAGAAAGAATTTAGGATATTTAATGTGGAAATCATTATAGTTTAGCTTTGAATTAATAAGGAATTGTATATGAATGGGGTAATGGATTATAATCTATGACATTTGAAGAAGCTTTGAAAATTAAAGAAGTTCGAATGCCTAATTAGTATTCTAATATACGTAAAATTCATGTAGCTTAAAGTTAAGCTGCATGTGTTGATCAATTAGGTAGATTATATTAATGGAATTCTAAATATCCAAAACCATAATTAATAAAATGTGGATTTCGATGTGAGGAATTTTTATGTGGAGATGGTATTGTATTATTTATTGGGAATGAATAAGCTTATTAAGTTTCTGAACATTTTAAATAATAAGTTAAAGAAAAAGTTAAGAAATATAAAGATTATGTAGAATTAAAGAATAATAAAGTTAGAAATGTATTCTATGATGAAAATAAAAGAACTAAATGTTTATAAGAATTAAATTAGAAGGTATTAGAATAGTAAATTAAACCAATTTAACCTGAAGATTTTTTATATTCTCGTCTGTAGAGAAAACAATCCTTATATGTTATGTAATTAAAAAGGAGAAGTACAATGATGATATCTGAATTACAAACATTAGGTTTCTAATCAGAACACAAACCTAGATTTAGTACAATTAAATTTGATTTGATAAAAGAATAGATGAAATAAGGAAAATTACAACTTCTAAAAACAGATAGAGATGTGAAAGATAATAAAAATGTTTAAGGATCTTGGGAATAGTTTAAACTTCTTTCAAAGAATGTGAATTAAACAAGTTAAATTAAAAATAGAATTCCATTACACATTTTAAATACAAAATTATCGTAAGCTATAGAAATTGATAAAGTTTCAGATTTGATATTAGAATCTGAAAGATTAAATCCTCTTTACATTCCTTTAGACAACATGGCTAAGATAGTTAAATCCTAACCATAGACTCAAAGGGAATCTCTACATATTCAAGATTCTGAATAAAAAGAGTTCATTGATGATCCAGACATTATGAAATATGAGTATGTGAAACGTATCTATAATGGATATCATGAAAAGTTGCTAATGGATAATCTAATGACAAAAGATTAATGTTTCTTACCTATAAAATGGAAAAGACTAAAAGATGATACAAAACTATTCCAAGGCCGCTATAATAGAATGTAATAAAGACTTCAAAGAGAATAAAGAGATGCTAAAAAACTAACGAAAATTACAGATATATAACATTTATGACAATTTCTTTTTCTTATAATTCATATCTATTATGGACATGTTGGTAAAACTAATTTTTATCCAAACGTATTTAATATCCAAATAACTACACCGTTAGTCCATCCAAATCCTGTTTATACTTCATATTCTCCACCTCCTCCTGAAGTTCCTATACTTGTAGCATCATACTTCTCGAACATGTATCCCTTCCCATATTAAATTATAGATTTTTCAAAACAACAATAAGCGTTATTGATAACATTCTATGATAATTATAAGGCAAGTTCCATCTAATCATTATTGATCAATCCTTAAATTATCATTTAATTAAGAGGAGGCCATGAATTAGGTAAATCCCATTATTATCCTGTATTGAATATAGAAGTAGGGATTCCTCCAGGATATTATTATATCATTTATTTCAAATTGTCTATCAATTTACTATCTGATTTTGATTTTAAAATTAAAGGGAAATAATTTGATGCATAAAAATTCTTATTAAAACTTTTTTGTCTAAAATTGTAATCATTCCATTAATATGTTTCTTTATTGTAGAATTTATCTAATAATATTTCCTCTGTATTTTTACTAAGTGTTTCATAAAAAGTTTGTTTAGCTTAATATCCTAAAATCTTAGAAAATGAAGCTAATCTTTTCATATTTATTATCATGAATGTATTCAAATCAACACTTAAAATATCTGATGTCTATATGGATTCTAATGATTTCTAATCTGCAAACCATCTTGTAGAAAAGTCCCAACCACTTTCAGCTCCTGCTGTGATTTCATGATACATATGAATATTAGCATGTCCAATTGAAATATCTTCATTATATGACTCTGGCCTTGGATAATAAATATCTGAATCATAATGATACAACATCACATCACAATAAACATTTTAAAATATCAAACATGCTCTTATTGATCTATGTTCATAAAAATATTAAAACTCCTTTTCTATAGCTTCAAATGATTTAAGTATAAACTATTTGGCTCTCTCTTATTATCCATCTTTAATTAATCCTTAATATATATTGTAAGTAATCTAGGCCAAAACAGGAGGTTAAGTTCTTCCTTTATAATAGATTCTAGCACCATTAGGTATATAACCAAGTTTATTTATAATATATATGAAATTCTCCTACATTTTTATGGCACTATCAAACATTTTACTGATTATTAATCCATCTATAACCCACATTGTATCCCAATAATAGAATTCTCTAAATCTACCACCTGGTACAAAGAATGGATTTGGAACATATAGTATTGAAGAAAATTCTTCTATATCTTTTTTAAATTATTTGCACAATTCCAACCATATCTTATTAATCTCTAAACTCCAATCTTTTAATTCTTAAACCTTTAAATTATCGACATAATCAGGTTTCTCTTTATAATCACTTGGTATGATAGATTCTAAATCACTTCCAGCTTCATTAAAATTATCAGCTACAAATGTTGTCACTTATTCTTTATTTTTAATATCAATATTTTTCCAAGCATTTAATATCTCATTTTCTGTCTTTTTCATAGTCATATCTACAAAGGTTTTCCCATCATTGAATATTTTTTATGTCTATATGGTATGTAAAATGTTTCCTTAACAAAATATTGGATGAATGCATTGAGCATTAATATGTATAATTAAAATAAATAGTATCATAATTATTTAATATTGATTTTTTCTTATTGAATATAAATGAATATTTATTTATATTTATTAAGTCTGTAAAATATAATCAAATTCCAATGACTTAAGCAGCAGTTTAACCTTGATATCTATCCATTTTGCAAACATATATGAAATGATAATTATTTAGATCTGTAGCATCGAATTCCAAACTTTTGGTTCTGACATCTGGTTTATATACTTTGCTGTATGTAATTTTCCAATTATATTCAGATTTACTTAAATATGGAAGTCTTTAATCAGGGAATCCATGAGATATAATAATATAAACACCAGTATCTTTTTTAAGGGCTCTATAGATGTGATTTATGACTTTTTTTGAATTTTATGCTGAATAGTCTCCACTTAAAACTGCATCCAATAATCCTTTATCAAATACACAATCAAATGAATCATTTGGAAATGGTAATTCTCTTGCATCAGCCAATACATCTTTATATATCTATTTTGATACATTAAAAATGAGCAGGATAAGATTTATACTTTTCTTTCATAAATTCAATAACTGTTTTAGAAAAGTCTAGATTAACAATCCATTAATAACCTTCTTTATACATATCTTCAGGTATATCTATGGATTGGAGTATTAATTATGATACTTGAATTTCCACATCCAATATTGAGAATACGACTATTTTAATTAATATATTATGTAACAATGTCTTTTAAGTTATCATAATTTTAATACCATTCAAATGGTTTATCATTTCTAGAATAATTCTAAACTATACTCTGAATATCTTCTTTCCCAAAATTCTAGTTTACCATAATGATTTTTCTAAATAGCTTCTTATTGTTATTTATTCATAATTAATAATTATTATAAATATTTTAAAATTTCAATTGTTTATCCAAATTTTTAATTGATTCATTACCATTCCATTCTTTCATTCTTGATGATTCACTTAAACAACATTATTCCAACTAATTTAAATATTCAAATTGATGTAACACAAGATGATTAGATTAAAATTTAATCTTTGGATATCCACAAATCAATAAACTAAAATATGAGAATTAACTCAATTTTTGAATCTGTTACATTAATTAAGGCATTGGAAATACAGCTGTATAATTTTTAATGTCATATTCTAATTTATTTGAAGTAAATCTTTTCAAATTATTAATAGCTTCTTAATTTTTTGGTTCTACAAAGATATTTGGAATACCTTTCAATTTCTAAATATTCAATATTTATATACTATTCTATAATCTTATATTGCATAAACCAAATCCTTTTTTATTTTCCTACTGTATTGTTCAAATTTATTTTCAATATCAAAATAGTCTTGTCTAAGTATTGGTATTGTAACATTTAATTATTCAACTAATTATTAAATGTGTTTTATTGGAAACTTATCATTGCTCAAAGATAACAACAGTACCATACTTGTATAAAGCTCTTACTCTAGCGCATATCAAATAAGTACATCTGTTCCTTCAAATATTATACTCAAAGCATTTTCATAAAATCTTTCACATTTTAAATATTGTGGATTGAATTATTTCAATTAAACATGGTATGTTAAAGATACTTTTGGTCTAGTAATGAGAACATCATTTGCTTCTCCTTATTTAATTGATTATTAAGAAACATTCAAATTTTAAATTTTATTTGCTTAAGTAGATTCATCATCATCAATATCTTCAAGATCTATTAAAAATCTCATTATTTATTAATTTTCATATTTCTTAATCATTTTTAAATTAACTGGAGATTATAGAGCAAATCTTCTTGGTAATATTCCATCTGCATTCTCTGTAAATAATGATACTTTCTCTTCCTAATTGTTAATTAAATAAATTACAATCAAAATTTCGATAATTTCATAATTACTTTTAAGAACAGCTAAATGCATTAATGATAAACCTTATTATCCTGCAAGAAGATGAAAATTAAATTATCCAATTTATTAGGCATAAATCACTGCTTTATTTTAATTATACCTCACAGCTAAATGTAAAGGAGTCCATTTCTCTTTGTCATATTCATTTGGATTTTCATATTTTAGTAATAAATTTGTTAATTTTTTAGCAAGTTCTAAATCTTAATGGAAATATTAAAACACATGATGCAATAAATACTTTTCTTTTGGTTTACCTCCTTTTATAATTTAATAATATTTACCATTTAATAGATAATTTAAATCACATAATCTAAATTCTGTATTAACAGGCTTAATATTCTCTATTTATTATAGTTTTTTCATTTATATAAATATATAATTAATTATCTTAACAGGCAATTACAATTTATTTATTAAATGATAATTTATATTCTCTCTTTACTCAGTATTATTAATGCCCAATGTATTGAGAATGCCTATTTATAAATTCCTAATTCTGTACAAAAATAATAATATGATACTGATATTATTATAAGATTGGAAGGAGAATACATAATTGGTTATGGAGAGGATTTCAAAATCAATGATAAATCAAAAATACAAATTCTTTAATCCTCATTAATATTTGGACCCCAAAATTTTGAAATCTATTGTCCAGCCATCCATATTATACCTGATGAAGAAGAGGCAAAATGTGAAATCATAGTAAACATGTATTAAATGAATACAACAGAAATTGATAACTTAGCTTTTGCTTAACTTGTAATTCCTGTTGAAACTAATAATAATATTAGAGAGAATCCTACTCTTCAAATTTAAAATAATTTCTAACTTCGATTAGTAGATTTAGCAGAATAATTAAAGGATGTTGATTATTTTGTATAATATGAAAATTGTGGAAGAACAATATTTATTTTATCTGATTCTTTACCAATAACAGCTGAACAAATAGTAATTTTATAAAACTATTCAAAATCATTGGATTCAACAGCTCCAACTGAGCCAATAACTCAATTAAAAAAAGGTCTGATTTAAGTTGAAAATTATACTGTTGACAAAAGATCAACAATACATATGTTTGCATTATTCACTATTATTTGTGGAGTTATATTGTTAGCATGTATTAGATCCTTCAAAAAAAGAGTTGAAGTAAATACCCCTAAAAATGATGAATTATTGAATCAATAAGAGTTAAAGGTTTTAAATTGATTAATTAATATATCAAGTAATTGTAGTCATATTGTTTTGATGAAGCTTCACTTCGAAATATTCTAACTTTATTATCCTGATAATCCAATTCTGCTTTAAAATTTTGTTAAATTCCAATAGAATTCCTATTATTATTGTTAACGGTTATGATCCTAGATTAGAATTAAAATAATTATCGATTAGTTTAATTTGATATAAATATTTTATAACTCTTTAATTACCAAAATTATAGAAGAAATGATCTAATATATATATTAATATCATAGTTTTTCAATCTATTTATTCCTCCTTTAAAAAATAAATAATAAATGTCTACATTCTTATAGATATACCTTTAAAGTCTAGTTACTAAACATTTAATTAAAATCAAATGTTAGAATAGCAAATTTAAGATTAAAATAATTAATAATTTAATTTGATTCCAAGAAGTTCGCTTAAACAATTAATTCAAATTTTTTTATTAGTCTTATTTTCTATTTCACTCTATTATGTTGCTCCTGGAAATAATAGCAAACTTATTATTTCAGCAATCCAAGAAAAAAAAAAAATGGTAAAAATCAGAAAATTATTTATTTCATTTTCAATTGAATATGAATGACAAGAACTTTAAATATTACTCTCTCAATTAATCATAAATTTAAATTATAAATCATGCAATTTAATTAGAAATTTGAAATAATTTTGCTAAACTAACAAGAAATATGTAGGGGATATCATTCCATTATCTTTCATTATTGAAATTAATGCACAAGAAAATAATCTTAATAGAGTTCTTAAAGAATTCACACTTGCATATGAATAATTCTAACCTTTAAGTTTCATGAAAACTCTAATTAATTACTTTACCAAACATAATAGTTAGTATTTCCTTCCTAAAATGCATCATAGATTCTTAGATGAAGAAAATAATTATATTTGGTAATTAATTCGTTTTATTATTAAGATATTGAAACCAAATGAATTCAATAGAGGAAGAGGTATCCAATTTTTTAGAACCATTGAAGAACTTAAGAGCTTATTAAAAAATTTTAATAAAGGAACTTCTGAATATCAATTTAGTTAAGGCCAAATTAAATCATCATCTTTTGTGATATAAAAGTATTGAGATTTCCAATATTTTAGATGGAAGAAAATTTGATATAAGAGTTTGGGTTTTAGATACTTATACATTAGAGATATTTATTTTTAATCAAGGTTTAGCGAGATTATCATCAGATATGTTTGATTTAAATAACTGAGATGCATTTATTCATTTAACAAATAATGCAGTTTAAAAGCATTCTAAAAATTATGGATTTTTTGAATAAGGAAACTAGATGTCATATTCAGAATTGAATTATTAACAAATGGAGAATTTACTAAAACTGTTTTGCCAAAAATTAAATCTATTATTGTCCTTACTTGGATGGCTGTACAAAATACATTTAAAAAATGTAAATATTCATTTGAGATCTTTGGATATGACTTTATGTTAGATGAATAATTAAAGCCATGGTTAATTGAAATTAACACTAATCCCTATCTTGAAGAATCATCACAATTATTAAAAGAATTAATACCAAAAATGATAGATGATGCAATTAAAATATTAATTGATCCTTTATTTACTAAAATCAATGAATCTACTAGTTTAGAGCATCTCTTACAATTATGATTAATTAAACTTGATTATTAAAAGATTCAAAATTAATTCAACCTTTTTCTTAATAAAAATATTTCTTATATTATATTTCTGGATAATATAATAGTGTTTTAGTTTGAAATTCTTAATTTATAGCCTTATTGTATGATGTAACATTATTGATAATTCTTCTGATGTCTATTACAATTTAGAATGAAAATTGAAAATGAATATATAATTAATAAGATTTATTTTCTTTTATGATTAGATTAATTTGAACAGAATTGGAATAGTCATGAATCTAGATTTCTTGTAATTAGATCAAGAATGTATTAATTTGTTCTTAAAATTTGTATAATATAAAATAAAAAAAAAAAGTAAAATTAAATTGATTTGAAGTATTGACTTAAAAGTCTCTAAGATAGATTGGATTAATTGAAGTATTAAATTCTAAATTTGAGAGAAAAATAAATATCTTTAAATTAATTTAAATAATAATGAGTGAATAATAATCAAAGGGTGAGAGTTAAGAAAACTCAAGTTTATTATCTTCATAGGAAGAACAATTAAAGAAATAGCTAAAACCAGTTGAATTGGTCAATCTGTCAAAGGGATCTTCACAATCCTTAATTATAAATGAGTAAACTTCAATTAGAGAAGAAAGAAAAATAAGATAGTATTTACAACGTATACAGGAGAAAGAACGCCAGGAAGAGGTAAGTTTCCTTTAATTTTAGTTTTTAAAAAGGCTGCTACTCTTAAGCGTAAGCGGTCAAAGGTAAAATCTTTAGAATATTCTAGCCTAACCCGCCATTGAAACAATAGGACAGTCAAGAATAGCCAACAAGCTCTGAAAATAAGGAGGAAGAAGTAAAGTATGCTAATTTTGTATATATTAAGTCAACCTTTGGCTTTGGCTGTCTAGTTAAATCCATTGTTAGTCCCTTAACAGAGTGTACAATAAACAGAAACACAATCTTCATCAACAAAGTTAAGACTGAACCCAAAATTAAAAATGAAAGTATGACATTTTTATATATATTAACAGGAATAACACCACATCTATCTTTACTTGTCGGATTGCTAAGATAAAAGTCTTGAAGGTATATAGAAATTATAAGACTCTGCTACTCAATTTTATTCACCCTAAAAATAAACTAAAGATTAAACAAGTTTAAATCAAATAAATCAAGAGATATTTTAGGAAACATCATATTTAATAAAAAATATTAAAAATTAATATTAATAATACATTGAACCTATACAAAGTATAAACACAAATGATTAGAAAGAGTTTTACAATAAATATTTTGATAAAAAGTACATTGAATCAGTCATAAGAGAGAGTAGATTGTAAATTCATAAAAAATCAGGATTAGAAAAATAAACATCAATAGGAAAATAAATTCCAAAAAAATATTGATACTTATAGATCATATCAAGAATTATAGAAATCAGGCTTTTCACTTCTGTTTGTATATTTTATTTTTCTTTTTTCTCCTAAAATACAACTAATAACTTTAGTCAATTTTTTGTTGGAACTTTAATACTGTTCATCTACTTATTGAATAATGTACAATAATTCTTTTATTTCAGCTATCTAATATATTTTCTTTATCAATCCAATCGACTTTACAGATCGAATCAGTATTTCCTTTAAAATATAAAGAGTTTCCTCTGTAGACATTAATTCAGGTTAAATAAGATCTAAAATGTTTATTTATTTTCTTTTTTAATAATCATCGTCTCCCTATTAAATAAAGGATTTAATATTGATTGAATCTCCAGTTGCAGCAGAACATCTTACTCCTGTTGTAATTTCTTCAGATATTCTTTTTGTTAATTTGTCTTCTTTATGACTCTAATTTTCAATCATTAATTTTTAATTTTATTATATCAATTGATTATTATCTTGTTGTAATTTTGATATTTTCTAATAATAATTTTATTAATAATACATTTAATAATATTTCATGTTATCTAAGCTTTTCTGTAAATACTTGTTTTAAATCTATAAATTCTTATTGATAACTTTTATATTCATCCACTAATTAATTTAATTATTACTAGTTTAAATTTGATTATATATATTAACTAACTACTCTCCCTTGTTCAATACTCTTATTATTTGGTGATTATTTTAGTTCATTTAAATAAAAATCAGATTCTTTATAAATCAATTTTTGTTAAAGCTATAGAATCTTTTCATTTAATTCTGTATTGTTATCTTAAAATATTTTATTCTAATCAATTAATTACTTGACTTCATTATTCTTTAATTAAAATTTCTTTTTTATTTTTTCCAATTCATCCTTAAGTTCAAAAATAGTTTATTCTTATTCTTTTTAAACTTACTACATTAATTTTATTTAAGAATAGAGTTCTAAATTTTTTTTATCTTTTCTTTAAGTTATTATTATTATTATTTCATTTCATTTTATAAGAGTTGGTTTTATGAATATTTATTCTTTTTAGATGAAGACATATTTCTAAATTAATCATTCTTTAATTATTATATATGCTTTTCTTATTCAGATATTTTTATAAGTAAGTCCTTAATCTAATTTTAGTATTATTATTTCATTTGAGCCATTTCATTGTTTAAGCCAGATCTGTCGGTTTAAATTGATTTAAAATGACCTAAATTATCTGCATCTGTAGATTTTTAATGTCCTTAGTTTCTTGGAGATTAAAACTTTTATTTAAACTCTTAATTTTCTGAAATCAACTTTATATTAATATTTTTTAGTTTTTCATATTCCTCATAAAATTATTTCCTTTCTTGTTCTTCTCTTTAATTAAATTGACTTTATAATTAATTTTGTAATTTATTGTTCTACTCAATTAAATTATTATTTTATTCTTTAAAATATTCAATTTAATCTTATAATTCTTTTAATTATTCTTCATATTATTGAAATGCTATATCTATTTATTCTCTTTATTTAGTCAACAATAAAGTTACTACTTCTCTGATTTAAATTGGTAAAGACAATTCATTCTCTATAATGTTTTTATTATCTTCAATTGAGCATTCTTATAATATATTTTTTAATTCCTATTTACTTTATGAACAAGATTAACATTTAGAAATGAGATCAAATACTTTAGATCTTTTCATCTCCTTTGATTTTATTTCTGATAACATTTTTTCATCTTATTTTCGATATTCCATCTCTTTTTTTAATCTATTAGTTAAATTTTAAATTTATTATTCTTAATTTTCAATTATCTCATCTTTATCAATTTTATTTTTGAATTCACTTAAAATTTAATCCTTTTTTTCAATTTCTTATAAAAGGTTGTTTACTTATAAATCATTTTCTTTCATTTTTTTTATTTATAAATTTAATTCATCAATAATTTTATCCTTTGCTTTAATAACATCTTGCTGACTAATAATTTTTTATGATGCTATTTAAAGGTTTTATCCTCTAAGAGCTTCAAGAGTTGAAAAGTCTTTATGTTTAGCCTGTAACAATTTTAATCTCTCTTCAATTTCAATATATTTATTTAAGAGAATATCACTGTTTATATTTAGTTTTTATTGTTATTTAATATTTAATGAATTTTCATTCGAAAACTCTATGCTAGGTCCTTAAACTTATGGAAATATATTTTTGCCATCTCCTGGTGTTACATTGTATTTAGACCAATCAATTAATTTATTCATTCTTTAAGGTGTCATAGATTCTAAAATTGAATTTGATGCTTGCATTTAATTTTATTAATGAATTTGTTATTCTTATGTTAATATTCTTATCTTTTGATGATGATAACAATTTTATTAAGTATAAACTTTTTTAATAGCAAATTTATTCGGAGTTCCATCAGATATTTCACTATAAGATGTTATTGTTATATCTATTGGAGGATAAGGAATTTTATCCTAATCTTATTTTAATTCAATATTCTATTTAAAGAGGAGTTCATCTAAGTCTTTGTTTCGATTCATAAAGAGAAAATTCAAAATTATAAAATTAATTTATTGTTTTTAGTAATTCATTTTTTTCTTTATTTTAAAGATGATACTCGTTTATGTAACATTTAATCTGTTGAAACATTTGACAATAATTATTGATAATCTATATTTATGTCTTTCTAACCAGCAGGTAAAGTATTTTATCTATCTGCAAAGAAATTATTTTAGGAAATTATTCTTTTCAAACCTTACAACTTAGATTAAGCAGGACTTTAAATAGTACTAATCTATTATACATTACTCATAGATGATTATCTAATTATATAAGAAATAAATACTAAGATTTTATTCGTTTCTAAAGAGATTGAAACTATTCTGGAGTGAATTTTTGTTATTTTTGATTCCTTGTTTGTGGAGAAGCAGGTTTTGATTAATACTCTTTTGGTTCAGTGCTTTTCCTTTAAGGTTTAAATTTTTGATTTAATGCTAATTATTATTAAGTCACCATCATAAAGTGTTATTATAAAATTTTTGCCTATTCAGTTTTCATTTATTTTTATTCATATGAATCAAAGTAAAATGCTTTAAATATTCTAATTTCTTATTAAAGACCTGCTTTTCCTAAAAGCTTCTCTCTTGTTTCTAACTCTCCTTTCATTAAATCATTAGAATCATAATTAAATTTTAATTGATTAGGTTTGAATGGAGGAGGAATCTATTTCTATAAAATTGCCACTAAATCAACATCTTTAAACCAAGCATGAGTTAATAATTCTGTTAATCCTTTATTTGCTCCTAATCTCTCAGATGGTTGCTTGCATAATAATCCTTAAAGCAAATCCTTTGATAATTAAGTATTATACTTTAATCTCTGGTGATAAATTTAACTTTTCTGGAAAAGATAATTCTTCATTAAGAATAGACTCATAAATCTCATCTGTATCTCTTGAATAATAGGGTGGTAATCCTGTAACTAATTCAAATAGTAATGCTCCCATACAATAGTGATCAACTTAAACATTATGTCCTACTTTCAATAACATTTCAGGAGCCATATATTCTGGAGACCCACAAAAACTATAGGCATAATCTTCTTCTGTCATATTTGGTTTAGATAAACCAAAATCTGCTATTCTAATATGACCATCAATATCTATTAAAATATTCTCTGGTTTTATATCCCTATATACAACTGATAATGAATGTAAATAGAACATAGCTAAACAAATTTCTGCAAAATAAAAACGAGCTTAATCTTCACTCATTCGTTTAACTTATCTTAATTACCAAAATAATTCACCCCCACTGCAAAACTCTAATACAAATACAATAAAATTCTTAGATTCAAAAGCATATTCTAATTTTATTATAAAAGGATGATCAAGCACTGTCATTATATCTCTTTCATTTTATACAATACCTTGTTTTTTATGTTACATTATGAATTCCTTATCAATTAATTTCATTGCATAAAATCTTCCATTTGATTTTTTTTTTACCATATAAACTCTTGAAAAACCTCCTACTCCAATGCATTTTACAAATATAAAATCTTTAAGAGTAATTTTACTTTATTATGGAGTTCCATAAAAAGGTTGTAGATTTAATGTTTATCCACTAAAAATTTCTAAGCTTTTATTTGCTTATTATAAATAATAATCGATTGGCAAATTCTTATCAACAGTATGAAATGACACTATCTCCAAATCTGATGACTCATTTCCTGTTCCACAAGTTACCTTTCTTTCATCTGGTTAAGATCCTGTAGATGAATATTAATGAATTGAATGCTTTTTTACTTCTTATTTCAAATATTCTTCCAACCATCCTGTTGATTTTTGAGGATCAATTGTAAATTTTATTTGTTGATTTTCATGATTAACAATTATAATTATCTAATTGGCTGGATTTACAAAACTAATTTTGTTTGAATTTTATGATTTTTAAGGTTAACTTGTGCCTAAAGATATTCGCTTAGATTCCTTTTATTAAGTCATCATATCAGACAAATTTGCTTTTTTAGTACCAGATTATAATTGCTTATGACTTGTCATCAATTTAAGCAATTCTTGTTGATACTATTTTAAATTGTTCCCTTTTTTTAATCCCATACTTTAATTTGTTTTTTGAGTTGGACTTAATGATTAACCTATTAATCCATTAGGATTAAATGATTAGCTTAATTTTTATGATGCCTTTGTTGTGTATCTAAATATAATTAAAACTTACGTCTTTAATACGCTCTAGGATACTATCTCTTACAATTATTATTGCTATTTTGATAACATAATCAAAATTTAAATATTTTATTAAATTTATATAAAAAAGAGACTATTCACTCAATTTTTCAAAAAATATCTTATTCTAAAATTGATTTTACTTTTAATACTGTAATATAAAAGATAGTTATGAATTATTTTGAATAATATAAAGAATTAAAAAATTATCAAAAAACTTTTAGATTAGATTTATTCTCCCTCATTATTTACATTTTAATTAGAAACCATATCATATTTTATAATTTTTACATTTTATCATCTCTTTTGATTCCAATAACAATCTCATTGTCTTAAAAAAGTTTAGAACTTTTGGTATTTTGAAACAAAATATGTTACACTTTGATTAACAATTACGTCTTGAAATTTTCTAGCTGAGAAAATAGAAAATTCTTTGTTAATCACAAATTTTTTGAAGTTTCTTGTCTAATTAGAATTTTAGTTATTTTTCCTATTAATTTTCAATGTTTATTTAATTTTTCTCAATTTTTGTAAAATTATTCTGAAAGCAACATATAATGAATATTAAATATTCTTATTTGCAGATGAATAGTCAAGCATATATAGATTCCTTAAAATTAATAGTGAGTATACGGCTTGCTAAAAGCCAATGAAATAATTTACTCTTATTACTAGGTAAAAACTAAAAATAATATAATTGTCATTTTTTTCACTTTTTGAAAAAACATATTTTAAATTTAAGACGTTTCTGCTTAATTTTCAGATAAATGTAAAAAATCAAAATAGGTATAAAATAGAATATTCAATAACAGTTTAAAAAATCTTTTAATTGTTAATTTTAAGTAATTTTTAGAAGCATAATATTCTTTCTTTCTTTTCTTTTTTTCATCCAACCTTATTGCATCTTCATTCAATTCTTATTCTTAGGTTGATTATGATATTTATAATTATCTACAATGTCATTTGAATCATCCTTTTTATTTTTATTTGTTTTATTTTTTTTATTTTATCAGATGTATAATCAAATTTTCATTTAAAATAATGATTTTTAAATTTTGGAATGGTTTTATGTCTTTTTATATGAATAAATTTGACATCATTCAATTGGCTTCAATTTTTAATAATCTATATATACTTATCCTTTTCGTCTTAAATCTTAAATAGAATACATCTCTTTCAAGCCATCATGAAATTCGATCTCATTTATTTACTTCTGTCTAATAATCCAATATATTATTTAATACTCTATATAATATTAGTAAAACTTAAAAAAAATTTGATTATGATGCTTTATTGAACAAAAAAAAAAAAAATAAATCTATATTTTTTATATAATATATAGTGAGTTAATTATTAATAAATTAAGTATTTCTCCTTATATAATAAAAACTAATTTAAGTCAGGTTCTAAAAGAATATATACTAAATCAATTGAAATTTAGACTATCTCAAATGAGCTTCATTGAGGTAACCAATATTGAAATTCAGGTTTCTAGTATCCTTAAAATTTGTATATATATCAATATTGATCCCTGCTTTAAAGATCTATATAAGAAATTGACTAAGTTTCAATTGATCTACTATAATCTTAAATTGGCATTTTGCCCAACCCAAAATAATATACAAACTTTTTTTAAATAAAAATAATACATTTATTATCTAAAGCTATAGTTTTGATATGAGAAAATACGAGCTTTGATGCAATCTCCTAAGAAGAAATTTCAATAAAGAAATGCTCATCCTAAGATCTCATTTTATTTGCATCTCCAATTCAAATTCTTCTCAAAGATAAATAGATTATCCTTTCTAGGTTCTTTGAGATTTTGGCTTTAATAGATAGACTTTTTCCTGATAATCAGATGACTTTTAAGAGAAAAATATTAATTAATCAAATCTTTTTAATTTTCAGCTATAATATTCACAATTAATTAAAATTAGAAAATTAATATAATATCATTAATTTGAATCTGATATGAAGTCTATAGGCTTTGCATACTAATTTTTTTAATGTAGCTTAAGGAAATAGTTGTGAATTAAATTTATATAATAGAAAAAGTCTATAATTTTCAAAAACACAAGGTTTAAAATAAAGGTTTAGCAAATACTATTGATACAATAAACTCATATTTAAGATACAGATCTTATATTAATGAAAAAATATTGTTATCATTTACCTTTCTATAAATTTTAATCTGATCCTATAATTGAAAAAACTCAATAGGATGAAAACATTTTTATCTTAAATTAAAGAATCTAAAAAAAAAAGAAAAATTTTCAACATAAAAATCTTAGAATAAAATTACAAGTGTGATTCAATTATTAATTTATTTTTTATTCATATATTTCCTTATTTGAAGTTAAATTGATTTAGTATCCCAAGTGATTAAATATTATCCGTCCTAGCTCATGGTACCATAAAAAGTATCAGTTTCATAATTAATAGCCTAAATTAAACTAAATTAATTATGTTGTTTTTCTTCTTTATGAAAAATGATTTGATTTAAATAGAAACCATTTTTATTGAACAAAATCTATTAATTAGGATTGTAAAGTAACTGAAAATGGTTATTACAGCTTTAATCACCACCTTCAATAAGGCATTCTTTTATTAGTATAAACTAATTTAAATTTAAACTTAATTAATAAATTTATAGCATGTTGTGTGGTTCTGGTTTTCTTGGTTGAAAAGCAAAAATATAATCAGTTATGAAACATATTCTATATCCAAATCCTAGAATTTATATTTTCTATTTAAGGATCCAATTTTTTGTGTTGCTCTTCTCCATAACTAAAATAAAGTTATCTTTTGAGCAAGAAACAAATAGATTTCCATAACAATTAATAGACAATCCAAATACTTCATTTGAATGTTCTTTAATTTCCTAAACACATTATAATTGCGAAAAAGAGTTATTTTAAGATTACCAAATCTTTATTGTACAATCAGAACTGCCTGTTATTATGAAATTTTCACCAGATATAGGCAAAGCAACACAATTAATTTCAGCAGAATGGCTTTTGACTTTTAAAAAATATTTCCCATTAGATATTTAATTTAAAGACCATAAAATGAAATAGGAATCTCTAGAACCAGAAATAAAAATTTAGTTCTATCTAAAAAAGTTAAGGGTTGTAATATAATTTAAATGATTCAAAAGTACATTAATTTATTTTATTCTTCCATCTATAAGTTAATAAACAATTATTTTTTGGTTAGCTCCTGCAACCAAATGGGTGTTATTACGGTTAATTGCAAAAGCTATTAAGAAATCATAATAAATGATTGTATTCAAAGTTGGTAAACTAGTGATAAGCTAATAGTTAGATATGTTTCTTGAATTCAAAATTTTTTCTTAGAAGCTTTATGAATAAAATTAATTCATTAGAATTGTAATTATAATATAATTTCCATAGTTAGAAATTCAGACTTACAAGAACAATATTGTTTATAAATAATTATAAATAATGTAAACTCTTCAGAAAATTAGTTAAGAGAATGAAATCTAACAAACATGTAATCAGTATTATTACTTAACAAAAGAGCAGCACAACCATTTTGAATAAATTGTAGAAAGTCTAGAATACCTGATGGGAAATTATTATAAAACTGATAATAAAGTATAATTATCTAAAGATGGAACACTTAAGTATGTAAAAGATGGAGAAATTATAAGAATGTAAATACTTTCATAAACAAATTTTAAGTGATAGAATATTTGATTAAACAAAAGAACTTCCAATACTAACTAATCTTGATTAGATTAAGCATTTAGTTTTGGATGGAGAATTCAATTAGAAATATTAAAGAGTTGGAAAATGGAGAGTATTATGGAAAAATTAAGTATTTAATGCAGGGGGAAATTATGATGAAAATGGAAGGAAAGAAGGCAGATGGATTGAACTATTTATTTGAAAACTTTTGGGAGTATTAATTTTATTGATAAAGAAATGGTTAAGTTAAATTTTCTGGTGAATATAAGAACAACAAGAGAAATGGAAGATGGAACTTTTCCTTTTAAGATAAAACTATATAATTTTACCATTATTTATGTCACATCAAAGTGGTGGAGGAGTTTATGATGAAAATGGAGAAAAGACAGGATTGTGGATTGAATTGGATAATAGTTTCAGTTGGTATTATATTTGAATTTATGTTATTTATAGCTTAAGTTAGATTACTTATTATGGAATATATGACAGTGGAATTAAATAAGGACAATGGATTACAAAATTTAAAGGTCAAGAAATGTAATTCAAAAGTAATTTTTTAGTGGAGGTGGATTTTATGACGAGAAAGAAAAAAAAATAGGAAAATGGATAGATATAAGCAAGAATTTTTAATAGTAAAATGTGATATTCATTTTTAGAGAATCTTAAATTATTTATAGTGGAGAATATTATGAAGGCAGAAGATGTAAACAATGGGATATCATGTTTAGAGAAGAATAGTAGGCAGTATTTCAAAAAATGTAAATTAATATAAATGTTACATTTGTAAAAATAATTTATTGTGAATCAAAGTATGTTGTAAATTAATAGATTTGATTTTACTTATAAATTATTCCTTTTTGAAGTAATCCATTAATTATATAAATCCATTAGAACAATTTATGTTTTGTAAATTTGACTATTAATAGCAATAATGGTTTGATTAAAAATCGTCAAACTAGAGGATTAAATAGAAATAGAACCCTAAGCTCTAATAATTAAATGTGCAACATACAATATGTAGTCAATCATATTTATAATTTTAATAATTTAAACTAAGAGAATTACGTTTATTGGGAAAAACTTGTGAATTTGAGAAAAGTTTAAGTTCAGAGAAATGTTTTTGGAAAGTTGTAGAGATAATCAAAAAGATTAATACAATCCTAAAAAAAAAAGTTAAAAAGAAATTTCCAATTGTTCGAAACATTTCGCATCTGAATAGTTAAGGAAATTAATTACATAATTTAAAGAAGAAAATGTTTTAAATAATGCAATTAAATGGTATTTAGGATTGTCATAGAGTCAGATGTAATATTGTATATCTAATAATAATGAATAAATGCTGCCATAATTGTATTTTAGAATATCAACATAAAATACTATTGGGATTTAAAACCAAATAAAATTAAACAACCATAGGCAGACATTAAGAAATTCATAATTATTTTAATAATTTGCCAGAGTGTTAGATCAAAAATACATTTTTAGGATTTTTCCACACAAAGGGTAGCAAATGAGAAAAATGAGTTTTGATATGATAAAGTATAAAAATAAGAAAATTCAAATCTATTATAAAAAAATTAAATAATCATAATTTTGTAATGGAGTGATTGATAGAAAAGTTGAATTAAAAATTGCGTCGGTTATAATAATATCCCGCTCTTTAATGTACTTATATGAAGGTTATGTTGAATAGATAGGGTATAAATAATTTTTAAGAAATAATGAATTTTGTGGTGTTTTTAAAAAGAATAAGCTAATTGAGAACTTTCATAATTAAACGAAGAAAATAATTTAAGCTAAATAAAAATGTTTTCGAAATAAATATAAAAGAGTTGGTGGTTATGGAGAACCCAAGCACCCCATTCGTTAATGGGCATATAAAGTGTTAATTTTAGTAAAAATTCTATAAAAAAATTAATCTCTTCGTAGTCTAAGATTTGCTTTAACCTCAAGATATCAAAAGCTTCTCCCTATTAATACTATTAAATGCATTACTAAAGCAATAATTATGCAATACATCTTATCTTCCTTTTTAATACCATTTATTTTGTTTAGTAGAATTGATGATGTTGATTTGAGTTGAAGAATATGGTATGAATCCTTTTTCTCTTTTTTGTAGTGTTTAAGTCAAATACATATTGGAGCATTGGTAGAAATTCAATTCCAAGAATTTAATAAGGGGACTAAAAATTGTGATAGGTCTATACTATGATTTATTAGGAATATCAGGATAAACTTTATTTAATGGAACAAATTCTAGTCCTACAACAATTTTCGCTTTATTCTATTGTCCCATAGTTTCATATCTTTTTTAAAATGTATATTTTTAGTTATAAATTTAGTGAACCATAAATTTAATTCTCTTTTTAATTACTAAAACACTGATTTCTTATTGATATAAAAACTGAATATGAATATGTCAAAATGCACATTTCTTGCATTTATAAATATAGAATGAAATTTAATTCAACTTTCTAAGTTTAGAGTATCAATGATATTTTTTGGAATAATGCCTTCTGATATTTAAGATGAAGATAAATATTAATTTTTTATCACATAACTAGTTGATGAAGTGATTTATGTTATTCTGCCTTCTTAAAGACAAAAGATATGTGTACCATTTTGTTTGACTAAATTTAAAATATTTTTTTTAATTGAGGATATATTCCAAAAAAACAACTTTAAGTGAGAATTTCGTGTTAATATTGCTAGATCTTTTGGAGAGTATCTTGCTCCAAAACCTAGTGGAGTCTATTTAAGACTTCACTCATTCAATGAGATCAATATTAATTGTATGGTAGGAGTCTCACCTTTTGTGCTATTTCTTTACATGTTTTTCATAATTTTGGAGGTATAAAAATTCATTTTTGTTTGTTTCAAATTTTCCATCATAAATTTATAGTTGTTCATCATTACTATCAGATGCTTCAAAATTATTATTTAGGTGATAGAATTTTCAATATATTCACCTATATTTTTAACAGCTGAATTAACGCAATATATAATATCAGATTAAATGTCATTTAAGGATTTATTTTAATTTATTTATTAAAGCAACTTAATAATAATTATTAGTTTTAGTTAGATTTTTGCATAATTTTTTAAACAGATAATTATTACATTTGATGGGAGTTTTTATTTTACTCTTTAGTTACAATGTTAGTTTTTTTTGTAGACTAAAAAAGTTATGGATTCTTTTAATTGTAAAAATATAGCACTCTCTAACTTTTTAACATATCAAAAAGTATTTCTTGATTTTCGCTTTATAAAAAACGATTTTTTATTTGAAATGAGTTGAAATAATTTATAACATCTTTGGAAGAACTTAATTTTCAGATAATATGTTTAATGTATATATCTACTCAGAAGGAAGAAATTCTAAAAAAGGATATAATTAATTAAATCAATGAATATCTTTATGTTCTTGCATAACTTAATTCTATTAAAAGTTTTGGAGAAAAATAAAACAAAGTATAGAACCATTATTGCTATTAATTGTCAAATTTACAAAACATAAATTGTCCTAATGGATTTATATAATTAATGGATTACTTCAAAAAGGAATAATTTATAAGTAAAATCAAATCTATTAATTTACAACATACTTTGATTCACAATAAATTATTTTTACAATTGTAACATTTATAATTGAATCTCAAGTGGAGGATGAATGTATATAAGTGGAGTATAAGACGGAATGTGGAAAGAAGTAAATGAACGTTTCTAAAAGTACTTTTTACTAATCAACTCATAGCGATTGCAAAATCTTTTATTTTGGATAATTCGATATTGGCAAAAAGATTGGAAGATGGAATGTTATTTTCTAAGATACTATAATGTAATATTGATAAATGATAGGAACTTTAGAGGAGGGGGAGATTATGATAATTAAGGGATGAAAACAGGAAGATGGGTTGATCAGAATAATAATTTTTTTAGGTATTAACATACTGAATTGCATAATAGTTATAGATAATTGATATTTACTGGTCAATATATTAACGGAAAGAGAATAGAAAAGTGGGAAATATTATGTAGATTTGATCCTTAAAAAGCAGTTTGAATCTATGTAATTTAAATCTATAATTTAGTAGAGGAAGCGGTTAATATGACGAAAAAGGAATAAAACATGATTTTTGGATTGAACCTATTGAGCATATTTGGAGGTAGATAAAGTACAGTTTATACATTTAGAATCTAAATTTTTGAAGATTCGGTTGCAGTGATTGTAATTAGCTTGGCTTAAATAATTTATTAAGATAATATTAAAATAATGGAGAAAAAATTGGAAGATGGGAAATTTTATATAAAGAAGAAAATTCTGAAAAATTTGAATTGATGTTTTAGTTTTATAATTTAAAATTATAGTGGAGGGGGCTGTTATGATGAAAATGGTATGATAAGCGGAGAATGGGCTAAAGTTGATTCGAAATTTTCATAGTAAATGAATTCAAATCATTGTATTATTAGCTCTTGCTAGGTAATTTAAAAAGGGTAATAGTTAAAAGGGAGAAAAGTTGAAAGATGGAATTATCATTTCTGGGAAAAAATTATGATCTTTATTGTTATTATAATATAGAGGAGGAGGATAATATCATGAAGATGGATAAAAGAATGGATAATGGATTGATTTGGATGAGAATTTCTCATAGTAAAAGCTATATTAATTAATTATGATAGCATCAGGCAATTAGTATGGGTTGGGGTTTATAATAATGGATTTAGGATTGGCTAATTTAAGGAGTGTAATTTATAATGAGCTATAACATTAAGAGAAATTTAATTAGTATTTTAAATGCTATATTTTAATCGTATTTATAATTATTTTTTAATGAAAGATTTGTTGATTGCCTTTTTGATAAATTATAAATGCTATAATTTTGAGAATATTCTAAATTATAATAATATTTAAATTCAGAAACATTAAATAATTAATATTAAAATGTATAAAATAGAAGTAATCGTAATAAAAGTCTTATAATAGACAGAATAATTACGAAAGAGGCTTTATATAATATTTTTTGTTTCCAAACTATAAATTTACATAATAATTTTTTATGCATAAAATCTTAAAATGAAATTATTTAAACAGTTTATTCCATACTTTTGGTATAACATTTAAGCTTACATCATCAAATCTCTAATCTTTTTCATATTGTTAAGGTAAATGGAAACAATAGGAATCAAATTTAATGTTTAAAGTAAATGTAGAGTTTGCCTAAAATCTAACTGATTAACAATAATAAAATATTCAGAATTTGTAGAATTTAGTCTGATGGAAAGAAAATAAAATATAAAATGATATTATTCGGAAGCTTGAATCTAGACGATACTTCATTTCAATAAAAAAATAAAAACTAAAATGTTCATTATAGATTGTATAAGAGGAAATTAAAGTAAAAATTTTTCATAATTACATTCTTATAATTCAATAAAATGCAAATTCCAGAAAAATTTGTATTTTTTTTTTATTAAATAATTATTTTGCTTTAAAAATACGTTTTTCGTCGATGACCTTCAATAAATTTACTGTTGAAAAAAATGAGTTTAAAGGAAAATGATTCATAATCATTTCAAAAATACATATTTCTAAATTGAAAGATTAACTGATATGTAATGAATAACAAAGAATGGAGATTTGTATGAGAATTCAATATTGTAATTCAGAATATATTTTGATTGATAAATATTTAAGAAAGAAATGTTTAAATCATAAATTTATTATTATGTAAAAATCGATTATAAAATCATACATTTGATATCATTTGAAATTATAATTTCTAAACAAATAAACCTCAAATTAGATCACCTCAATATTATTAAATTTAAAATCAAAAAAAAAATTGAGTATCTATAATTTTTATTTTTTAATATGGTTAAAATATTAATAATTATTAAAATTTTAGTGATTATAGTCATTCATTCTCTCTCTAATAATTATTAAAAATCTTTTCATCACTAATTATTTTTATTATTTATAATAATGTTTTACATTTTTTTATTACCCTTTCTTTGTAAATCCATCGTATTCCATCTACCAACTTTTTTACCATCTTTAAATTCTCCATTATATGTAATTTAATTATTCCACGTGAACCCATCAACCAAGGTAATCCACTTTCCCGTTTTATATGAAATTATACAGCAATCCTCGCCTAGCTTGGTAGAATATTCACCACCACCACTTTAATTAATATAAATATAATTTCCCTACATCTATGATATTTTTTTCGTTCTTGTATCTATAAAGTTAATATTCCATCTACCAATTTTTAAACCATTATTGTATTCACCATCAAAAAGAACTTCACTCTAACTTTAATTCTAATGATTTAATACTTCCAAAATTCATCACTTAACTCAATCCATCTACCAGTCTTAATTGAACCCAGAATAAAAGCATCTTCTTTCTTAATTTCATATTATCCACCTCCACTATTTGAAAATAATTTATTATTCTACATAAATTTAAATTCTTATTTTTATTCCCCTCCCTTTTTATTAAATAAGTCCCATCGACCAAACTTTTTACCCATTAAATATTCACCTTGTTAAATGATTTAATCGCTCCAACGATATCCATCACTCAACTCTATCCACTTTCCAATCTTAATCGAGCAACTTTCTTACTTCACGTCATATGATCCACCACCACTTTTTGAGCATAAATTTAGATTTTTTCATTTACATTAATTGATTCTTCTTAGAAATTATGTCTTTAAAGTAAATATCCCATCTCCCAATTTTAATACCTTAGTTATATTCACCCTGGTAAGTAACTTCGCTTTGACTATTTGATATAAATTTATATACTCCCAAAAACTATCGCTAATTTCAATCCACCCTCCAGCTTTGACTGAATAACCTTTCTCTCCTTAACCTACATATAATCCACCTCCACTAATTTTATAGAAAAATAAATTTTCAACACTTACATCAATTCAAAATTTTTATTTTCTCCCATCTATTTAAAAAATATGTTCCATCTACCAACTTTTTTATCATTTTAATATTCTCCATTATATGTCAATTATCTATACCTAGTAATCTACATAATTTATTACTATCCAAAATTAGCAATTATCTCTATCCACTTCCCAATCTTTACTGAGTTGTTAAAATCATCAATTTTATATAATCCCCCCCCGCTTTTTGAAAAAAAACAATAGTATTTATAATTACATATTTTCAATCCTCTTTTTCCAAATCCAAATTGTATCCCATCTACCAACCTTTATGCCATTTTTATATTCACCATGATAAGTCACATAACACTCACTAAAAATAAATAAGTTAAATACTCCCAAAAACCATCATCTAAATCAATCCACTTCCCAATCTTAATTGAATTTCCAGAATCAACTTCTTGATATGATCCACCACCACTAGTTTAAAGTACATATTATCAATTTTTTGATACATCAATTCAAAATCATTGCATACTCCACTTTATTTAGCATAAATATCCCATCTACCAATTTTTTAACCATTTTTATATATACCATTGTAAAAGACATTACTTTTGCTTATCATTAATTAATTAAATACTCCCAAAGATCATCACTTATTTCAATCCATTTTCCTATTTTAATTGAGCCACCAAAATCATTATATCCTTATTTTTCTGCATACTATCCGCAACCACTATTTGTAAATTTATCTTTTAGTTGATAACTCTTACATCAATTGTAATTACTTATTTTTACCCTCCTAATTACAAAAGATTTCCCATAAGCCAACCTTTTTGCCATTATTATATTCGCCAGAATAAGTAACTTAGCTTTTTCTTATTATGAAGATAATTAAATTATAAATAAGGTACTTCCAAAATCCATCACTTTGCTCAATCCATTTTCCATTCTTTTAACCTTATTTGTTATATGATCCACCACCACTTTAATATATAATTAAATTTTTGATACATTTCTTAAAAACCATAAATTAACTTCCAATTTCCTCTTTTTGTACCATTATGGTATACTCCAATTTCATAGATTTTAGCCTAACTATTTATTATTCTCAAAAAATAAAACTTGCCTCCAATAATTATTAATTAATTATTTCCATAGCCCTTATTTTAAACCATCTTCAGAGTAGTATCCCCCAACATTAATAAGAACTTCTCCCTTCCAACTTGCCATCCAATAACCAATTTTCTAATTATTTTACCCATATTATCCGTACCAATTAAGATATTTAATCTATTCTAAATTTTCCATGCTTTCACAACTGAAAATAGAGTCCTTGATATTATTGCTATATTAATTTTTTTTAATTACATTCTTAAAATTAATCCATCTTTCGAATAAACTAAATTTTTTTCTTATGTAAGAGTTGTTTGAATTTTCATTTTCAAATATCTATTATTAAATACATCCCAATATTTTGATTCAATTTCTTAAATATTAATTTATATTAGATTCCTTCCAATTTAGGACTAATTTTAATCTTATTATTGGTTATAATTTTGACATAGCTTAAACATCTTTTCTTCATTAACTATTTGTAATTCAATTTGGTTAGGATTATTCAATTTCATTTTTTTAACAATTTATATTAATATTCAATCAATGATAGAAAAGAAAAAAATATTCTGATCATCATCATATCCAAAATTTTACTATTTCAAAAACTTTTTCTCTATTTTAAATATCATGAAGATGTAATTGAATTTATATTAATTTTATGAACTAAATCTATTAAATTATGGTATACATTTATAAATTGAAAATTCAGTGTTTACATCAATAATCATAGATCTTTTCTCCACTAAAATTTATGTTTTAACATTTAAATACAATATTTACCTTTTTAGAAACTGAATATCTCTTTAGCCCCTTTTCTTTTACTCCCATTTACCTATTTTAATACCATTTTTATAATTGCCATTATAAGTGACTTATTCCTGACTAAAATTAATTAAATAATTAAAATTTTATACTAGCAAAATTAATCACTCAGCTCAATCCATTATCCAATTTTAATTCCCATTTTTTCTTCATATAATCCTCCTCCTCTATTTTAAAAATCATTGTTTTACATTTATTCAAATCTATTATTTCTCCTATATAAAATATCCCACCTACCAACTTTCTTTCCATTATTATATTCTCCCCTGTAAATAACTTGTCGATCACTATTTTAGAATAAAATAATCTTATAATATAAATATACCTGGAAAATCGTTCACTTAATTCAATCCAATTTCCTATTTTTATTCCACAATTACTTTCTTGATTATAAACATATTATCCACCTCCACTTAAATTAAATTAAAAATAATTTCTTTACATTAATTTATTTTTTTCTCCTGATCTCCAAAAAACTTCCCAAAAACCTACTTTTTAATTTTCATGATATTCTCCTTAATATATAATTTAAATCTTTCTATATTATAAAATTTTGATGTTTTATTTTATTACTCATTATATCTATCATTCAATTCAGTCCATCTTCCAATTTTGATACCTTGCTCATCATCATACATACCAAAACCGCTATTTTAATGATTATTTTTTTAATTCTTTACATCTATTCATTTTTATAATAAGATCCGTTCTTTTTATGATATACTATCCATTTACCAACCTTTTAACCATTACTATATTTGCCTTGATAAGTCACCTATCTATCACTAGATAATTTAAGCAAAAAAAATAAACTTTGCAAAATTATTGTTCAATTCAATCCATTCACCAATTTTTGTTTCTTAATAATCATCTAGGTTTTAATCATATGAACCACCACCACTAAAATTTGAAACTTAATTTACATATATTAGAATTATTAATAATAGTATTCTCTAAAACAAATATCCCAAATACCTACTTTTTTACCATTTTTATACTCACCCTGGTAAATAATTTAACTTTAACTATTTAATGTGAAATTAATAATTTACTTCTAAAAAGAATCACCCAACTCAATCCATTTACCTATTTTGATTTCTTTTCTAAAATCATCTTATGTGTTATCATACGATCCACCACCGCTAATTTGAATCATTTACTAATGTATTATTTACATCAACGATAATGGTTATTTTTAATATTATTTGTAATATATTTACCATTTACCAACCTTTTTGCCATACTTATATTCTCCCTTATAAACAATATAGGTCAAACTAATTAAAGATCTTGTCCAAATTACTTCCAAAACTGATCACCCAGCTCAATCCAATTTCCTATCTTGATTGCAACATTATTAGAATTAGCATTTTGATATTCATATGATCCACAGCCACTAATATATGTTATTGAAATTTCTTTAATACACTAATTTAAAATTTTCATCTTCTTGTTAAAAAATGTTCCAGATACTAATTTTAATTCCATTTTTATATTCTCCATTATAAGTGATTTTAAAAGCCCTTTAGCAATATTCAATCTGAAATACTTTTAATAATTTTTGCCTAATTCTACCCATTTTCCATTCTTTTAACCAAAATCATTATACGATCCGCCACCACTAGAAAAAATTTAAAAAATACATTGTCTTATTTTCAAAAATATACTTCCAAACTCCTATTCTTTAACCATTAACATATTCTCCCGCCTCATAAACTTCAACTTAACTATCAGAATAACATTTAAAATTACTTTCTATAATTCTTGTTCAATTCTTTCCAAAAACCTTATTTTAATCCTGTATCATTGTAACATCCACCAACATTTAATAGAATTTCTCCATCCCAAAAAGCCATCCATTTACCAATTTTTACTTTATTTTATAGACACTCACCCTACCATTAAAAATATTTGATGTAGTCTAAATTTTCTAAAATTTCTTGTTTTTCTTAATATTCCTCAACTGAATCACTAAAATTAGTTTATAATTACGTTTTAATAATTGATCCATCACTTAATATGTAATTGATTTCTTATCCTTTAGAATATTATAAATAAATCTGAATTTTTATTAGTGATGGTGGATAATAACTATTATCCAGAAAAACACCTTCATAAACATTGGAAGATGTTAACTATTTCTTATTTTTTTCAATCAAGAAATTTTGTTTAACTCTATCAAGTTTTGAAGTTAATCCACTACTTTGAAAAAAAATATACCTCATTTTCTCTTCTTTTAAAATATTCACTTTTATTAAATTAATATCAAAATACAATATTAAACTTGAAATGTTTTTAATTTTGAATAAAAAATGAATTAAGTTACAACACTAGAAATATTTATTGATAAATAATTATCATATATCAATAATATGCTTAATGGATTTTGGTCTTTAAATCTGTGATAGGAATTGCTAATTAATTTATTAGCTGAGTTTTTCAGTGAGTACTTGAGTTTACTCGATCACTCTAGTTAGGAAAATGATTATTGTCTTATTTTAGCAACGCAATAATTTATAAGACAAAGAGAATTAAAACTCTATAAACATCTTTTTCTAACACCTTATAATCCATAATTACATTTTATCAAGCGTCTTTGGGTTTAGGTTAAACTAAAGTTGAGTAGAAAATTGGGTTCATCTATAAGCTATAAGTCAAAAAATTCATCAAATTCATCTAATGAGGTCAATTTAACTTGTTAGTCGAATTTAATGTATTAACGAGCTTAAATATAAAGAGAGGAGTTTTGAGAATTATGTAAAAATTAATATTTATTTAGATGTACCAATTTTAGATTAAAAAAATTAAAATCTGGTTTACTGTTACAAGTCATAAAAAACATTTAACATCATTTTTTTATATGGTAAAATTATATTCCAAGTAAATCACTAATTGATCTAACAATTTTATTTCGGATTAAAATAAGTTATAAACATTTATTAAAGAGAATAAATAAGTTAAATTATAAGTGATGTGAAATAAATGTGAATAATCATAAGAGGAATCACAATTTAGTTCTATTATAAATATACAAGTAAAAATTCAGGTAGAAAAATTTTTGGATATTGCTGAAAGTGTGTAAAAAAATTTATCGTTCTTGACTTAGTTGGTGTAAACTTCTATTTTTGACATCATATTCACCTGAATTAAATCCTATTGAGGAAGTTTGTAATCTCTTAAAATAAACAATATTTAGATAAAAAAAGCTGCAAAAAATTATCCAAAATTATTAAAAATATTAATAAAATTGTTTGTTGTTAATATAAAAACTCATATGTTTGTTGAAGTCAGTTATAGATTCGATAATGAAAATCTAAAAGATTAGAGAATTTGATGTATTGAATTATAAAAGTGAACGAATTCATCAAATAAGACACCTAATAAAATATTTTTAATCTGAGTTTCTTTTCCGTTAATTGATAGGGTGTAAATAATTATTCAATTTCCAAAAAATTTTTAGAAAGTTTTTTAAAAGAACTTTCTATTTATTTTTTTGATATTTGAAAAAAATTAAATGATATTTAGAATAAAAATTAGGATATTATAGATTTGAGATTATTGAATATTGATTGAGATTAAATGTATATAATTATTTTATTAAATTTAAATTCATTTTTTGTTGCATAAATTATCTAAATGTTCAACTCTAAATTTTTGTAAATTATTTGTGAAAGAAGATTTGAAAACAATGAGAAAATATGATCATTAATAATCTAATTGCAAAAAACATGAGATTAATCCAAACTTAATTGTGATACAAATGA